GTCTCGACCGATCCGCCGGGCGCGGCCGATGCGCCCGTCCTCATGTTCAACTACGCCGGCGCGTATCACACCGGCAACACGGGGGGGCCTTTCGACGCGGTCCGTCTGCTGGCGGTGGAGACGTCCATGGAGGATCCCCGGAACATCCGGCCGTCGGTGCTGGACTTCAACTGCGGTGCACGGGACGGCGTGATGGATTTGAGTATCTTGTACAGTCGGGCCATGCACGCTGAGGAGGATGTGCATGCGTTGTTGATGAGGTGGAGAGAGGCTGTCGAGGAGATTGTTGAGGAGTGTACTAGTTACTGAGAGAAGCGGGCGGGGGTCTTCATGAAGGTCAGGTCAGGAGTACTGCTCCATTTTATCTTGATTGCATGTCAAGGAGAACATGTCCTTTTCAATCAATAAGGCAAGCTGATGTGTAGTGCGGTTAGTCACTTTCGTTCTGTTGGCAATATTCTCATCTCTCTGCTTCCTTCTTACTTTCTGGCTTCGAATATTGTAATGAGATCCCATGGGCCCGGGTAAAACGAGGTAAACGACGACTGCTGATGATGATAGCAGGATGGTACGTGTGAAGAAATGCAGACGGGAGAGAAAAGAAGACGAAGACCCGACCCAGGCGGGAAGTCTCATATTCTCTTCCATAAAAGGTGGCCTCCAGAGATGCACGTCGGCTTCTATTTGGTAGTCCTCCACGAATGAGTAATTGAGACTTGAGGGATCATGTTGGAATCGGGAGATGCTGCATAAAGTGCCTGTAGAGAAGAAGACGCCTTGAAGGGCAATGAAGGGTATGCGTTTGATGGATAAGCAGCTTTGATAAGCGAAGACAGTACCTAATGAGGCTTTACAAGGCTGCTATGATTCATTGCCCCACCTGCGTTACCTTACTGCTTGATACGAACAGTCGAATTTGTTTGACCTTTCCCCGGGACCATCGAAGTATTATAGTCGACTGTCATAAGAACAATTCTACTTATAATTCTATTGCGACTCCCTCTTTCTACTAAACAGCAAGACTGTCACTCCTGTATACAATTTCAGGTCTTAGGGGTCGGCTATTCTAGATATTTCTTTACATTATTGGTAGTTGGATGGTCTGGGTTCTCAAGGTGGGCAACACGCTTGGTACATCGCCTCGAATCACGTGGGCTGGATTCCTTACGAACGCCGACAGTGACTGATACAAATCGGCAGACACAGTCTTGGGGGTGCAGTTGTACATATCATCAATCTTCTCCGCCGGCTACAAAAACGAGGAGGGTGTTCACCTCTAGCCATGCGAAAGCCGCCATCCTACTGCTTTTCTCTTGCCTCTCAAAAGCCATACTTCCCTTCCTTCATCTCCCTCACTGCCTGCGCAGCCTTGGGATCCTTCTTTTGCAAAAGCCTTTCATACGAGTCAATCATCGCGTCCTGAAGCACATTCTGCTCCCGCCACTCTTGTATCTGACTTGGCACCACAGCCCCAGTGTACACCTTCTGCGGGTGCTCCATCGCCAGTAACCACAGGTCTATCAACTCCGTCGGCTGCATCACAGACAGCGCATAGAGTTCACTCCAGACCAGGTTCCCAAGGATCCGCATCTGCCCGGTGTAGCCAGGCGACTTTGCCTTTCTCTCGTCGGGGACGGATGACGGCGTGAAGTCCGCATCGATGGCGAGGATATGAGGGCGGAAGTCCCTGGGGAGTTTGTCTTGGTCTTTTTGCATGTATGAGCTAGCACTCCAGGGGTCAAGCATAAGAAAGCTCGATTGGTTTAGCAGAGGGTGTTGCGTGCGGAGGTTGCGGAAGTGGCTGCGTGATGCTCATGGCTGGGGTTAGTGGGGTTCCCGCATGATGAAAAAAAAAAAAAAAAAAAGTAGATAGGGAATATAGTGGACATTGAGACGAACCTTCGCACGGCCTCGGTATCTTTAGGATCGATACCCAATTCCCTGCAATCGAACCACTCGAGCTTCAGGAGGGGCTTCACCTCCTCCGCGCCCGGCTCAAGGTCGCCCCACGTGGCCACATGCTCTTCCACCTTTGCTCTGACCAACCCCCACTCCTCGTCGGAGATGTCATGACATGCAGCGCGGTAAACGGCGAACCCAACGGTCTGCGCCCCGGCATTTTCTAGTGAATCGGAGATTGTTCTCACACATTTTCGGAGGACCCTATGGATCCACGGAGCCGGAGGCAGCTCCGTCAGCGGGGGCGACAACGAACCGCGCATTTCCAAGCGAAGTTGATCCCGCGCCTCCGTCTCCAATGATCTAATTCTCCGTAGGCCTGCGAGGGCCCTCGAAAGTTTCTCGTCTTCACTTATCTCGCTCATCTCGCTCGCCAGCGGGATCTCTAAGTCAGGCGCCGCGTGCAGCCGTGCCTCGAGCACCTCAGGGAGCCGTTGCGCATACGCTTCCTCCATGTCCCGTAGTTGCGGATGATGCAACCCCGCCACTATGCCAGTGGGCACTCGGTACCCCTTATACCCCTCCAGGGGCATCCAGATCCCGACATCAGCGAGATACGTGATATCAGCGAGGAGGCGCCACCGCCGATCGAACTCCGTCAGCCGAGCCAGAAGGTCTGTCTGATCAACAGCCGCCGTGTCGCAGAATTCAGCCACCATCCGCTCCGTCAACCTTGCCAGGTGGCCCACCACCCATGCGTGCGCGGTGCGGGTCATGACCTCATACACGGCGCACACGTATTCCGCCCACAGAGCGCGGAGATCGAGGGTGTCTGGAAGCTCCGCCAATTGATCCGGCCTCGCCCGCCGCCGCGCGTTCAGGGCCCACTGCACCTCGCCCAGCTCGTCGGAGATCAAGTTAAACTGGTCTCGAAGATTCGTGCTCACCTGTTTGATTCGCAGGTACTCGAAGACGACTCCCACGGCGGTCAGATGCTCGCAGGCACGCTCCAGATTTGCGGGGTTGTCGAGGTCTTGTTCCTGCCACTGGGCCTCGGAGAGCGGGACCAGCCCGTCACGGAGGCGGGCCTTCATCAGGTGGATGTTTTTGCCCACGAGGCAGAGGCGGGAGGGATCTTGGTGGCTGCCGCAGTGACCCAGGACCTTGCCTATCGCGCAGGTCACACTAGGGGGCGGACCGGGCGTATCGACTGGAGCCCACGCCGCGGTCGGCTCTTCCAGGAGCCGAGCTTCCACGGGTTGTAGGAGTGGGAGATTGGTGGTCGTGCCGTTGGGGAGGTGGCCGTCCACGGCAAACGCGACGAAGTTGGCGATGAATTGGGGCTCGTGGAACCGGTCAACTGGTGATAGATTTATCTGTTACCTCGGATGTCTCCATGCAAGATTGATGCAGAGGGAGTGAAGATAAGGCCGCCGTGCAGTACAGTACGTACCAATGGGTGAGTCTTGGCTTGCCCAGTGCGGCTGTGTGGGCCCGGATGAACGCAATGCGGTGGCATCCACGTTGGAGCTTTTCCTCTGGACTGGTGGCTCGAAATCGGTATGTGTGGCATATGGTCGAGCCACGTTTGACAGTCCGACGATCGCTCCCGATTCCGGGTGTAAGCGGGCGAAAGGGAGAAGCCTGGATCGTTGTTTTGGCATAGGCAGCCTGCCATGGTGTCGACGACTCAGCTGCCATAGTCTTCGCGATACTCGTGCTGCCATTTGGGCGGGTGAATTTGTGGGTCTGGGGTCTGGGGTCTGTACGGAGTGAGTAGAAGGGAAGTTGATCGAGAGGGGGGAGCAGAAAGAGCGGATGCCGATCTTACCCTCAGGGTCTCAGGGTCTCAGGGTTGTAGACGATGCACGGTACCTGGTGGGCTAACGTTACCCCTGGCCTAGCCTGAAGCAGACTAGGAAGGCGCGGCCCGTTCGGAAGTCCCAAAGCCGTGCATGGACATGACAGCACGTCAATCCTGGATGTCCGGCGCGCGGCTTAGTTATCCATGATGCTTTCAGACATCCCTCGGCTGACACTCCAGGGCCCTACGTTGGATAAAAAAAAAGGTAATACTCCCACTACCTGAAAAATAGCGTGACTTCCTAAGTCACGGACGGAGTAGGTGTGACCCGTCTTCGTTCTATGTTGGCTAGGAGCCATTTCAGCAACGGTATACTGACAGCCTGGCTGCTAGTCCTTAACAGATGGATGGGTGGAGAAGTTCATGTCGGGACACTGATACTGGCAATAAATAAGAAGACCCAAAAAACATACAACAGAAGGGATTCGCTGGTGGTCACCCACCCAACTACTAACCTCCCGGCGTGTGGCTTAAGTACGGCTGAGCGGACGGGAAGCCCTGTTTTCCACACCCTGTGGTCGTATGTGCTTGAATGTATCCACTAATGGTCGTTATTCTACCATTCATTATGGGAGAGTTAGCTAACTCTGAAAACAAAATCGCAACACATCCTCTGTAAGGGTCGATATCTGTTTGTCCCTCACACTTGCCTTCGACCGACAAAGCTATTGCGATGAATCCATGAGGAGGGTATTTCTCCGGAACATTTAGTCCCTTAGGCCTTGTTGTTTTTAAACCTACAGGATGAAGTGGATTACCCTACTGGGCTTGTGGGTATATATTTCCCAATGCTGGTCGAGGATTTTCTATCTGGGAGGGAAATTGTTGGGCGGATAATGCCGGCTGGACATGTATGATGCAGCATAATAGTGATTAAGTCCGAGCGGTGGTTCTGGGCCCATCGTCCTTTGTGGAAGGTCACTGTGACGGTATGAGGTGATACACACTCAGCTGCTATGTCAAATGTACGCCGCCGCGTGGCATCACCGTTTGCTCATAGGCAAACAGCGGGACAATGAGTAGGTCAGAAGACAGGATGAATCCCCCTCTTCTTCAAGTTGGGAGCCTGAGAAAAGCTCACTCAAAAGGATGACATGTGTCTAGCCACATAGACCGGCACTGGCCTTGTCGCTTTTTGCGCGCCTTTTTGGCTATAACTGCCACCACCTTAGCCACAATCCAGTTCATTCTTCATTCAACCCACATGCCACATTTCTGCGAGACTCACACCTCTACTATGCAAGCCACCATTATTTCCACGTTGCCCTTGAGTGACCTGAAACCCACTAGCCAAGCCGTAGCGACCATCAGCAACGTCCAACACCTGGCATCCTACAACTGGATCGAAACACCCGAGCCTACCATCGCCGTTCCCGGGTGTCCCAAGCGCTGGACGCCCCCCTGGCGACCTGGCCAATATGAGATCAAGGTCCCCAAGGACCCCGCGGAGGACAGTCATTCAGAGAACGCGGCGCGCCATCCAGCCAGCCCAATGGAGCCCCTTTTCCGCGCGCTGTACCTCCTACAGCCAGATCTGGACATTCGATGCGTTGACCTTGTGACTGACCGCAGCAACATCCGCAAGCTATTTTCGGTCATCAACCCGAATCTCGACAAGAGGGCGCTTGCTACCCTTACGATCCACATTGAGCGACAGGGCAAGACCGCCCTTCTCTGCTGCGAGGAGGCGTCGACCCGGGAGCGTATACCTCGCACGCGGTTCCGTGGATACGGTCAGGAGTTTGAGAAAGCGACCACTACCAGCTGTGTCGCAGGCAGCACCAGTCACTACCGGGTCACGTCCTACGACTTGGGAGGATTGTCTTGTATAGTCCGATACGAGGCTGATGGCTATGTGGAGCCGAGAGGAGGCCACGATCTGTCCGCGACGCTGTCCACGATGCTGGTCTCGTTGAATATCTCCGATTTTCCAACTCCGATCCCCAGGCACTCATCATTGAGTGTTTGCGCAAAAGGCCTGATTATTCCGCCGGACTCCATCCTCGAGATCTAAGACCTCGGCCCCCGGAAGAAAAGTGGAGATGGACAAGGTTCTGCCCCAGATGTGGGTGTCCCAGACCTCGCTGTTGGTTTGTGGCTCTTACGATAAGAAGGACTTGTTCAGGGAGTGTTGGCTGAGACACGTTGGACGGGAGCTTAAAGAATGGGAGAAGAACCATCAGGTCGATCTGAAGCGGCTGGCCGCCTTACTGAAGTGGATTATCGCCTCGGTGCCCAGAAGTGGCCAGAAGGCGACGCTGGATTACGATTCGCGTCGCGAGGAGCTCGTGATCTCGCGCGCGGAGCGTCCCAATATGCTCCCGACTGACCTTTATGATAAATGGGAAGGTCAGAATCAGGGTGTTGTCATGCGGGGTTCGTAGCGCATGAGATTTCGATGGATGATGGGGGGAAATGAGATCGTGATTAGAGGGATGAATGGATATGTGCCATCTCTCAAGATCAATAACACTCGAACTCTGAGTGTTAGTCATCAATTGGCCGGATGGTGTAGTTGGTTATCACGTATCGTTAACACCGATAAGGTCCTGGGATCGAGCCCCAGTCTGGTCATTGCTTTTTGCTCTTTGCTTTTGCTCTTTGCTTTTTGTAAAAGTCTGTCGAGGGTGTAAGGACTGCGATCGATGAGCGATGTGGTAGGCCAGTTACATAGGAGACCAGAATGGACCATAAGCGGATTGGACCTTTTTCTAAATTCAGCCACCCACGGCGGGGCGGTACCGGCCAGCAAAACGGAGGAGCGAGAGGCACGATGCTTGCATCAGTGTCTTGGGAGATTCGTTGTTGACGTGGCGCGAGTCAGATCAGGTAGAATTGGACCTCAAATGAAAAGGTGTCCTATAGGATGACGCATCTTAGCGCCCGCAATCCTACCGACATGCGACAAGTGATAGCGTGGGAGATTTGGTGGGGGTATATAAGCGATCTTCGAAGCTTCCCGTCGCCTTTTGACGGTCTGCGGTGCCCGAATGATTTGTTACACGCAAGAAGATTTAAGCTCGACTCTGTGATAATGGTAGATCCGAGTGGAGTCGACGACGTGGCAGAGGCTCTAGGAGCATGTGAACAAGGCATGCATTTCCCATACTCGCAATTCGCTGTAGCGATTGGTGACAGGCATACTGACAGATCAGTAGTGGCTGAGCGGGAGCGCTTGAGAGCGGCCCTAAGGGAAGGCAGCCGCTTCGACTTCGGAAGATCCGTGGAAGAGTACAACAACATTGCAGCTCAAGGAACCTGTCGCTGGATCTACCACACCAGGGAATTCCGAAATTGGATCCGGCAAAGACAAAGTGTACTGTGCGTTACGGGGTCGTTCGGGTCCGGTAAATCGTATCTACTCGCCTCGCTAGCGATGAATTCTTGGGGGTTACGGTCAGAAGTGAATCCGCCGCCGCAGCCTCTCATTATCAGACTCTTCTATGATTCTTTGCAGATCCCAGATTTATCTCAGATATTGCAGGCTCTACTAGTCCAGGCAATCCCAGAAGAGGGGCTGACACACTTGGTTCACACAAATTGTGCGGGCCAACTTGACATGAGTATTGAGGACTTGCAGGATGCTCTCCTCCAGTCCCTAATCAATCTGGGTCAGGAGAAGTCGATATTTATGTTTCTCGATGATCTGACCGCGCTTGAGCTCGATGTCAGTGGGGGCTTGGTTTCGTTTCTCGGTCGATTGGTAGACCACGCTTGTTCTACTGATATTGCATTACATGTTTGCTACTCGAAACGGGATTATCCTATTGTGGAAGCGGCAGCCTCAACGTTTCCCACCCAGTTTCAAGTTCGGATCGATGCCTTCAATCAACAGGACATCCAGTCGTGGGTTCGTTATTCCTTGGAATCAACGTTTCGCCAAGGAGTAGTGGAGTCGAATGACTCGATCGAAAGAGCAGTGAGCAAGATCCTTGAAGAGGCGGGTACAAGCTTTGCCGCTGCGTCGATCTATCTACGCCACTTGGAGGAAAATAAAAATAACGTGCCGTTTCAGAAATTAGATGAGTGTCTTGAAGTGCTTCCCAGACCGCTTGAAGAGATGTGGTTGAAACTGTTGCGAGATCTGTTGACATCCAGAAACCCCCACGGGGCAAGGGCAATGGATATGATGCAATGTGTGCTGACGGCGCAAAGGTTGCTGAGTCCTCAGGATCTCTACTGTGTATGCAACATGCCCTGTGATATGACTGATTCGGATGTGCGGTCCGCATTAGTGGCGGACTCTCTGGGCTTACTCACCCTTTTACCGGATACAACGAACGCCACTGAGCCTGGAAAGCCAAGAGTTATAGTGTCCTTTGTCCAACCAGCATTGAAGGTGTTCTTAGCATCACCCGCAGCGGGTGCTCTCTTCACCGAAACACTGCATTTAACCCACGCCGACTTTGTTGCTGGGGACCACGGCCGCTTTGTCCAAGCGGGGATCAAATGCTTAAAGGAATTTCTTCCCGACTACCGTGATCAGTGGAAGGACTCACTCCCGCCCTTCGTCGGTGGGAGGTTATTTCAGGAGCCCAAACCTAGAAGCACCCAGGTGAGCTTCGATCAAATTTTCAAAGGGTATCCATTGCTCGACTATACCGTTCGCTATTTGTTCAAGCATGCTCGGGAAGCTCAACATTCTGATGACCTCCAAAATCTTGAGACATCCGAAGATGGCTGCACGCTTCTTGCCGTCTGGGGTCATCTGCAAAACTGCTTGCAAGGGATCGAGATCTACGGGCCCTCGGTCACATTGCAGCATGTTTTTGCACGATACAACATGTCGGAATATCTGAAAAGGTACAAAAGTCTCGAGGTCAAGACCGAGAGCGCTCAGACTATTCTCCATTGGGCTGCTTTCTACGGAAGTGAAGAGGTTGTGGGCCTAGTGATCAATCGTACTGTCGAGACACAGTTAGAGGTCTTGTTGCAGAGCTCACGGAAGAAGCACCTGACTGGCACCCGTTGTCTCTACTTTGCCTGTCGCGAAAGTGAAGACGGCATGAGCGCGCTGGACATCGCTGTACAGAAGGGACATGTGGACATCGTTAACCTTTTACTGTCTTTCCGTGACAGGCTAGAGAAGAGATCAGATGTAGATAAGGTTCAGAAAAAATGGAGGCTAAGGCAGCCGGAGGGTTTCCCTCTGGACTATGCATCATCAATGCGACGTGAGCTCTATGCTGCTTGGGAGACACATCTGAATGACAACACGCAGGGTAGGATTCCCGCTCTTCATCGAGCAGTCAAACAACGGCTTCCTGTCATCGTGAAGAAATTGTTAGGGCATGGGGCCGATTGGCGGGTGCAAAGTGAGAGCTTAACACCTCTACAGTTGGCGCTGAGACTGGCGCAAGATGAAAACCCGTTGCACCCGGCTACTAAAACCGTCGTGCGGATTCTCAAGTTGGAAGCCTTCGCAGTCCTCGACAATGCAACCTGTCTGGATTCCGAGATGGAACCAGTTGATCGGCTCTATGAAGCAACCGTAAATCACATCGACGGGCGAGATTTGCTTCGGAGTGAGGTTCCCATCCCCGAACTCTTTAATGGGATTACTATCCCCGAACTTTTGAAAGTGAATGGCGTGGACCAGACTGGTTGGAGATCTACTTGGATCCATCTTCCCGCCAATAATGTGAGTCTTCTCTCAAAAAGCTATCGCCACGCGTTACCTAACAGCCCTGCAGATGAAGTGGGCAGAGGTACTTGACAACGTTGGATTGGCCCAACCTTGTGAATTGACAGCTCTGACATCAAACAGATCCTTATCTTGCAATTATTAAAGCAGCAGAAACGGGACATTATGCTGCGCCACGAGCTGTGGACAAGCCGTCAGATACGTGGCTCTGAAAGGTCTCATATCTCGTTCATGAGGCCTGGTTGCGAAAAGATAGATGAAACAAATGACTTTGTGATAATCGTCAGTCAGATAAGTCCAGACCAGCATTGAGAAGATAGTCGTGGAAAACTAAGCTTCTCTACCGCACAGATGCCCTACCTCCACTGGGAGACCCAGAGAAAGCAACGGCGATTGGAGGCCTTCAGCCTCTGCAAATTTCTGCTGGAATCAGAGGCGGACGTACTTCCTTCCCTTGTGAAGCAGCTATCTGCAGAGAATAATGACATCCTCAACACATTTGCGGAGATCCCGTCCAGTGATCCGAAAATTGCAGCTCTCGGTCAGGAGCTCCGGCAGTTTCTGACGACCGTGGAAAGTTCAAAAGTAAACAAAGTGTCTGCACAGGCACAGCTCCAACAGGCCCTGCAGGCCTACAGGGAGGAAGCCTGTGCGTCAGATCGGGATATGCGTCTTTTTGACTCGTACGCGAGTAGGCAGAATATCAAGCATCCTCTTCATATCCGCAGAACGCTTGATCAATCGTTCTACTATACGTTAGACAACACATCTACGCGCAACAAAGATCAAGTTGTAGCACGTTATGGAAAAAAGGAAGGGAGAAAGGAACCCATCGTCATGATGGTAGATCAGTTGTGGCTCTGGTGCTCAGGGAGTAAGTGGACCCTGTTATGATTGTGGACAGTACCCTTTGACTGTACTAACGCACTCTCCAGACACTTTGATTACATGCTTTCCACAAAGACGCGAATGCAATCCTGATGACCCAGACCGGTTCGACATGACTGATATACTGGAAAACATCCTGCATCCAATCTCTCCAGATGTCAAGAAGAAAGAAGGCGGGAAAGGACCACTATGGCTGATCCCGGGCATTGTCAAAGAATGCGCCGGGGCATTTTTTGATCCGATGAAAAACGTGGATGATGGTTTTAGGTTTTTGGATATGTTCAGCAATTCAATCAGCCGGATAGTTGGTCGCCTTTCTTTCCATAGATGTCCGATTGTCCACTGACTTGTCCTCATAGGCTGACGGAGAGGTTGCCTGCTACCAGCGCTTCGTCAAGATGCTACGGGTATCCAGTCAGCAGAATCTTATGGATATAGACACTGAGTCCGACCTTCTGCGAGAGATTAAGGATATTCTCGACGAACTCCGGATGATAAGGGTAGTTATGGAAGATCAACTGAAAGTCATTGCGGCCATCAGAGCTCCTTTCTTATGCGCACAAAAGTCTCAAGATCCTCGAGTCTGGGATGATGTACGGGAGTCGGTCGAACGCTACCTTGACAAAGTTCGGTCCATGCAGAATGAGGGACAAGCGACAGTAAACTCGGTAAGGATGAGGGCTACACCTTGGAAGTATTATATCGCCAACTAACGGACTCACTCTTAGCTGAATGCCTTGATGGACCTGCGGCAGCGCCACGCGACTCTCTGGGAGGCCAAATCCACCGGAATGCAAGGGAACACCATTACAGTCTTTACTGTAGTCACCATTCTCTTTGTGAGTTCGAAGTCTTTTGTGTTTTAGAAATCCGGCTTAACGGATGCAGTTACCTGCCTCATTCATGGCCTCTTTCTTTGCATTGCCCATCATGCAGTTCTCCAAAGCTGAGAGCTCGGACACTCTCGACCTGTCATATGTGGTAAAATGGCTAAGTAAGTCGCATGTTCCCTGAACACCATAGGCCATATTCTCGGTTATGGAGAATTACCTCAGCGACTAACGCGAACTGAAACTCAGTGGCTTTTACAGTACCGGTCGCCCTTTTCTTCATTTCGATTGCCTTCTACATCAATGACATTCTGAATTTCCTGTCCCGGATTAGTGGGCATGAAAGACGAGTTGCTAGATTTTCCGCCGAGGCTTGGAAACAACAAATTGGGCAGGGCATCATCGCCCCTGAGCCGGATAACCGGCAGCTTCGTGACGGTTCCGAGACTGGGAACGAGGGAAATGAAGATGTAGTGTCACAGCACAGTCAGGACGAGCCGAAGGCTCAATCGGCAACTCGGCGCAGAAAACTGTTTCGGTTCCAGAATCGGAATATGGATAGTCCAGCTTAAGGCTGAGATAGGCATGGGAGATCAACCGGATACATGGGTCGAGAAACCTTCTTAGTGATGAAATTTCCCACCATCGGTCGCTGGAGCTGGGTCCTGACAGAGACTTCTGGTCTCTCATACGACTAGCTATCTTATGTTGAGACAAGATATAGATTTCGTTTTGCCGATTTCCTTGAGAACAACACGGGCTTATCTGCTGCATTATCTACTATTTCACTTCAGGGACATTTGAGCCCTGTATCAGAATATAAGCATGAATATCGTTAATCAGCAGTAAATAGCTCTACACACCCGAGGGATCTGAAGAGCAGTACAGTACAGTACACGAAGAACTTGGCGGATGCTGTCAGAGCGGTGGTAATTTACAACACATAACGATAGCCGAAGCAACAAGTTGTCCAGTATGCCTCGGTCGGCTGCCATCGAGCCAAGAGAATGTCCACTATCGGACACTGAGTGCTACGATACGATGGGAATGAGCTCACTCCGTAGCCGTGCAGAGAACTGTATGTACTCAGAGTGCCACCACTGGGAGGGGTTAAACGACTCGAGTATGATGACAGGTCGAGTTGAAGCGGCCGGTATTTTTCGCAGCACAATGACTCGCCAAGAAGCTAGCCCTCCGGGGCCAAAGATCCAACAGCACAGCCCTTTCGCCGTGCTTACTGCGCGACAGACGTTTCTGGGGGCGTAAATAAGGAAATGAGTTCCCGCTCATACGCCGGTGATGAGTTCTTTGTATATAGGTGTAGGAAGCCTGCTTGGAAAAGAACCAAGAGAAAACCCCTTGCGAGCGGCAATTTTGCCTCTGTTTTCCCGTCGTTGATCTCGATCTCGTGATTAGGGCTCGTCGTTCATGCTAACTTCCACTCCTCGCCCCCAGTGTAGCCCGTGTGGGTCCATGGGCTATACGGTCGGACTCTTCTAACTTATAAAACAAGTGGGCCGCATCGCCTCATCATGACTGCTCATTATGCTCCCGCTTCAGCTACAGACGCATACTGATGATCAGGTACGATCAGGGGGATGTCAGGGGGGGGGGGGGCAGCAGGGAGTCAACTGGCCAGATGGCAAGTGTACCTCCGAGTCCGTACGGCCCCGTTACTCTTTCAGCACGGCTATTCTGCCGCCGCAGCCCTGCATCAAAAGGAGGGGGCTAAAAACAATCCTTCCCCACTCGGCCGTGGCTTGGTCTAAATAGGAGTCTGTGTCCTGTCAGATCGCCCCTCTTTCGTTCATCCCGATGATCATGCTCCCACTTATAAGATCAGTTGTCGCACTGACCGACTGCGTCTCAACCAAACCCATCACTTAACCACCCACCTTGGTGCAATGTTCCCCTTGTCGCATTTCCGCCAATACCGGCGACGAGGCGCAATTATCTCCCGAGCCCTAATCCTCGTCGTGCTGATTGTCTATTGCTGCAAGGCCACTCTGCGCACACGACAATCCCACCCCGTGGAGCAGGACGCGCAGTCCATCCAGAAAAGACTGGAACCCAGCCATGCCATCCCTGAGAAAGCTCAATTACAACAGCCGGTCGGTCTGCCAGACCCTTTGCCAACCGTACCCCCGGTACCCCCGGTACCCACCGCACACCCTCAAGCAGCTCCAGACACCCACAACCTCACCCACCACCTTGCGAACCTCTTCGCCGTCCTCCCCGACGAACCCCACGCCCACACTCTCACCAGCCCGTTGACAGCGACCGGGGAAGAGAGACTACGCGACCTGGGGTTCCGAACGCGCGCCTTCGACGCCCTCTTCCGCGCCTGGGAAGCCATCCACCTGGTCCCCACCGAGACAAACCAGATGCTCATCCGCGACGACATCGTGCGGGTCCTGCGCGACCACCCTGAAATCTCCGCGGACCTCGATCTCACCCCCGCCAGCGCGATCCACGCCTACGAAACATCGCGCAGCTTCCTAACCCAACTAGCGAAACGCCTCTTCCCATGGACCACCCCCTACTCCGCGGACCACATGACCCTGCACGCGCAGTTCCACGACGGAGGCCGCGGTCTGGTCTTCACAGCCGGCAACGACCAAGCGCCCTACCTCGCGACCTCGATCCGCGCCCTCCGCGCCCACGGCTGCACCCTCCCGATCGAGATCCTCTACCTGGGCGACGAGGACCTCGACGAGGAGATCCGCGACGAGCTCGAAGCCCTGCCCGGCTCCGTCGTCACCCGGGACCTGAGTGTCATGGTCGACGACGCCGGCTGGACGCTCCGCGGCTGGGCCGCGAAGCCCTTCGCGATCCTGCTGTCCAGCTTCCGGGAGGCGATCTTCATCGACGCGGACGCGCTCTTCCTGGCGGATCCGGCGGCGCTGTTCGACGACCCGCTGTACCAATCCACGGGCGCGTTGTTCTTCAAGGACCGGCTGTTCATGCCCGGGAACGAGAAACGGGCGTGGCTGCGGCGCGTCCTCCCCGCGCCGGTGTCCCCGCGCGTCCGCCAGAGTCGCATGTGGACGGGCCAGAGCATCCACATGCAGGAGTCCGGGGTGGTCGTTGTCGACAAGTGGCGCCATTTTGTGGCGTTGTTGATGGTCACCCGCATGAACGGGCCGGATCGCGATGGCGATGAGAGTAGGGGGTTGGTGGGGGTGTATGATATGGTTTATGGTGAGTTGGTTTGCTTGTATTCTTTCAAGGGGGGTGTTTGCTGACGAGAGATGCCTTTCGTTGTGTAGGGGATAAGGAGACCTTCTGGTTGGGATGGGAACTGGTCGGGGATACCGAGTACGCGTTCCATGAGGGTGCGGCCGCGGTGATGGGCAAGCCCCAGGCGAACCGTGACAACGCCACCACCACCACCACCACCATCACCACCACTACAGAGGGCAAGGAGCACGACTTGAAGTATACCGTGTGCGCCCCGCAACTGCTTCATTTGGGGACCGACGGCAGACCCCTGTGGTTCAATGGGTGGCTGCTGCCGGATAAGTTTTCGGACGAGGAGCGCCAGCCGACGAACTTCGAGGCTTTCATCCCCGAACCCCCCAGTGCAGAGGACAGTGGCTCGTGGCAGCTGCACGACAGCAACGTCTGTTGTCTGTCGGCAGACCAGGTGGTGTACTTCGATGCGGTGGAGAAGGAGGCCTTGGATGGGCTGATAGAGATCGCGAGGGATGTGGGGGCGATTGGCCGGCCACAGTAGAATGGAATCGACATTACCAAAATCGACTTCATCGTCCAAGATCAAAGGATCGAAGGCATCAGGCTAACGAGAAAGTTTCCGGACGGCGGACTACGAGGGTCACAACCGGGATAGAGCACGGGATACACGAGACGAGCATACTATGCCTGCGTCGTCGGCTGCCCGGAGAACAGGCCCCACGGATCAGTCACCGAAGGCAATCTAGGGGCTGTATGGAATCCCCCCCCGCCGCCCCAAAACCAACAGAGCTCAGTCTACACACACGTCTTTTGAACAACTGATAGATCGGATACGGAAAGCGTCCTGTGGATCGTGTTTCGGACAAGCCAGGGAGGATAGGCATCGATCGGATCACATTGTTCTTGACTGCGCAACTCGATCCTTCATGAGTTTATCAGTGATTGCGCACATGCTTGCTTGCGCAGGCGTGCTCTATTTGTACTTTATTCAGCTGAAGGACACGACAGTATGGAATCATGCCGAAAGCTGGGGCTGGGATTCGGGTGCATCTGGACTGGATTGTCTCTGTATGGCGATGATGAATCATGTATCACCGGGACAGGGGAAGACCCCACAAGGTGGAATGTATCCTGAGTGTCTCCTCAGCTACCGTCTTTGCACGTCTGACCATTACATGCAGATTTCTTTGTGTCTTTTTCCTTGGCCTTGGTACTCGGATGAATATTAATGATAGAAAAGATGAAAGTACCATATCATCACCAGTATTCGATTACCTGATTCTCTGTTCAGTGATGTCTCTTCGGAGACTTGGCCACTGCATTCACTCTCCCGCCTCCCCCGCAGCGCAGACCACAACCTCATGAATCCATTCCGAATGAAGGGCCTCATATGCTGTGATCCGGCGTTCAGGCTTTGGATCGAGCATGGCATAGATCACATTGCAGCAGCGATCCTGGTATCCTTTAGCAAACCAGCCTTCCGTTTCTTAAGGCCGATCAGAAAACTTACACTTCCAAACTCCTCAATAGTAGTAAAGCCTTCCACATCCTCCCGTGTCCGCAAATACCACTGGAAATTCCGATCCTCGTCGCTCGCCACCTTCCACAAGAGCATGCCCAGCCGCATAAACGCATAGATCAAGCCCACGGCCCAGACATCGGTGGCCCGGGGGTCGTGCTCGCGACCACGCAGCACCTCCGGCGCGGTATACGGCACCTGCTCCAACGGGGGTTGCGCTTTTGGCAACGGACGCGAGTCCTTCGGCAGCCACTCGGCACTATCGAAATGCGCCACCTTCACCGCCCCATTAACCGTTAGGAGCACATTCTCCGCCCGCAGTCGTCGGTGCACGATCCCCTCGCCATGGAGGAACGAGACCCCGCGCAGCAGCTGCTTGAAGAAGCAATCCGCTTCCACGGCGGAGAGCTTCCCCGTTCGCAGAAGGAGGGTCTGCAGACTGCCGCCGCCGCAGTATTCCATGACGGAGTGCAGATCCCCTTTGTCATTGTAGCAGTGCTCGATGGTGCGCACGACGTTCGGATGTTGGACGACCGAGGAGATGGCCATCGCTGCGCGGCGGTACTCGTCTAAGAGTCTTCCGGGGGAGCGGTGGCGGACTTTGACGGCGTACAGATGTTCTTTTCCCGAGTGCCTCGGTGTTTTCTTGGCGTACAGGCCCACAAACGCGGACGAGCCGTAGTGCAGGATCTTGATGCATTTCCCATACCGGTGGGAGAATGGTTCCGGCTTGTCGTCCCCCTCAGAAGTTTTAGATCGCGAGATTGCTGGATCGCTCGGAGTATGACGAGGGGTGTAATGGGTGAATGTGTTGCACAACTTCTCGAAGAGACCAGCGGGCTTCTCGGGTTCGATGAGATGGCGGTGATTGCCATCCTCTAGAATCTCGATGTGGTGCGGTTTTCTCTCCTTGGTGGACATGGCGAAGCCTGACCGGTCCGGCGAGGACGTTTCTTTGTCTAGATGTGCGTGTTGAGCTTGCTATGATCTAAACGACTTTATCCAGAACCAATGTGCTTTTGGGATCAATCAGGCGATGTGTCAACTCGATCAACCCTTCAGCCTTTCAATATTAGGGTGACTATTTGGAGCAACACCAGATAATAACGCCATCTGAACAAGAAAGGTAGAGGAGAGGGTGGGGAGCCCCGACCCGCCCCGCCCCCGGATCACATGCGCACGCTAACCTAAAATGGTATCAAAGAGCCCGTCACTATTCCGTAGTCACTTCGTCGCTGGTCGCAAGCAAACAGTGCAAACCCCGAGTATTCCCGCTCTCGAGTTGAACGGGAACCTTTTCCCCGCCTCCAGCAAAGCTTAGCCAAGCTTGGTTTTGCACGGCGGGCATCTCTTGTTCAGGAAGTTCTCGTATGAGTGCGTCATGCTCCAGCCACACTTACCCGGTTCCTGACACGATGAACATTCCCTACAGCGAATACAGTCGATTGCAAAAACTATGAAAGCATTCACCACATATACATCATTGTACACATGCACAAACAGGAAAGACATAGGACTAAGAAGTGCTTGGCACACTTCACTGAACAAGCTAACTGGCATACCGTTGAAAGCGAAATTTGGCGATCTGTCTTTCCTGATGCAGTAGAAGTTTATCAGAATAAGAAAGTGAATGTAGTATTTGCAGAGTGACCCTCACTGATACAGAGGGAGTATACGATGACTCCCCAGCAATGAATTACTCCAGGTTTCTCACCTTCCCCGCCAACCCCCAGTGGTCGTTGGAACGACGAACCTGCCGCCAGAACCAGGCCACATACGCCTCCTGTTCGAGGACGTTGTCCGGAGAGCGAGACGCCGCGTCCTGCGTCGGCGCCGTGATGGCCGCCAGTTCCTCCCGCAGCTGCTCTTCCAGCCGGGCTTCCTCGTCTTGCTTGTCGTCGCAACCATCTGGGCTGAGCAAGCCACCTCCCTGCTCGGAGGCCCGTCTCTCCAGGGTGCTGCGTCGCAGGGAGGCCCTCAGCTCCCGACCCATCCGGTCCTCCAGCAACGCCGCCACCGCGACCGAGTGAAACGGCCCCTCCTGATGCGGCCAGTCGCGCAGCGCCTGCAGCGCCTCCCACCGCAGCCGAAAATCCTGGCAGCCGTCGCCCACGACGAAGAGCAGCGGGATCACCCCCAGGTCGACCGTCACCGTGGGCCGCAGGGGAAAGTCGGCGATGAATCGCTGGATCCGGCGCAGCAGCGCGCGGTACTGCGGGGTAAAGAGCTGCAATCGTTCAGGGTCGTGGTGGAGGGGGCCGGTGTGGACGACAAGCGAGGCGGTGATGATCAATAGCTCGAGGAGCTCGATCCCGTGTCGGGACTTAGGGCTGAGGTCGTTGCGTTGGCAGAGGGTCTGGAGCAGCTGCATCGCCGGCCGTAGTTGTGCGGCAATGGCCATTTGCTCCCCCGCCAGTGCCGCGCGGTCGGCCTGGAGCTCGGCCGGGGACATGCGCCAGCACCACCGCACGAATTTGAAGAGGCGGTTTTGAAGGGGTTCTAAAGCTTGGCGGGCGCCGTAGAGAGGGTCATCGTTGAGTTTAAGCGCTTGGTCGCCCTGCTGCTGCTGTTGTGATTGCTGCCACCATGGATCAGGTGTCGGGTGAATCTCCGTCCCTACCTCATCTTCCTCCCCCCAGTACCACAGGCCCGGCCCATCCATCCCGATCTGGGTGTCCAGGTGTCGGAACACAGTCACCCAACGTCTGGCTGTGGGACTCTGCGACGAGGGCTCGCTTTCGCGCAGGATCCGCAGGCCCGCCCGCAGATGCTGCAGCGCCGAGCTGTATTCCTGCCAGATGGTTGCCACCACCGCGAACAGCAGACAGCAGAGCAGGGTCACCTCGCGGACCTGCGGATCGCGCGGGTTACGTCTCCGCAGACAAGCGAAGGCCCGCGCCGACTGTGCGACGGCCATCCAGTACCAGAACTGCGGAGCACAACCGATCACACCCCCGGCCTCGACCTGCTGGTGCACCGCACCCAAGGCAACGACGGCGTGCCAGACAGCAGGCTCCCGAGGCACCATCTGCAGCAGGAACTGCTGCCAGACCGCCGAGTCGAAGAAGCTGAGCGCATCCGGGAGGGTCCGAGCTTGGACAAAGGTGAAGCAGCGGCGCTCGTCGGAGGTGCTGGCCCACGGCACCGCCACTGCGAACGGGCCGGCCACAACCGGTGGGGGGTCCCGGCGGTGATTGGACTTCTCGCGATTGGTCGAGAGGAATAGTTGTCGGTAGGAATCGTACCCATCGCACTGGCGGCCAGTGGAGGTGCAGTTGCGGCAGCTGCCGGGGGTTTCGTCACACTTGATGCGTCGGGTTCTGCCGTGGATGATGTCCTTTCTAGTCGCCTTTTCCTGGAAGGTGTGGTGTGTAGCTCGGGTTTACATACCGGCACGTGCGACAGCCCGTTCTCGATCTTTTTAATCCGGCCCGGCGGGGCTTGGCAGAGAGTGGTCTCATGGTGAGGCCACGAATCGCAGCAGGCGTCGAAGGGATGTAGTGGGTGGGAGGTTGAGGTGAAGAAGTTGTGAAGTTTTGCGGGGAGACACTAGAGGAACTAGCTCCCTGCTAGACAGGGATTCTCTGTTCAGCTACACCATTTTAGTACTAGGCAGCGGAATCGAAGAAATGTAGACTGTGATCATTTTTGAGATCGTAAAGTGGTCTTTCGTAGACTGAGATCACGTCCTTTTCTCCAAGCGTAAGTGGAATTTCATCGAGTTAAGAAATGGCAAGCGCCAACCAGACAGCGCTTTGAGATATATATGGCAGGAATTGTTTGACCCGATGCCCCATCTCCACTTGGGTGAGATCGGCCTTATAATTTTGATCAGCTTACGATTTCATGGTCCGTTAGATCTTTGAGCTTACAATTGACCCCACATCCCAAAGTACCATGGTTCCCAATCAACTGTGGGGAAGGGCGCCGCTGCCCGCACTTCATAAAGGGGGGGGGGGACACGGACACTTAGAGCCTTGAGGTCTTGTCATCGATATCGCAGTTATAATCATGCTACTAAAAATCTAATACTTGTGTTTAAATTATGATCATTATCCCCCGAGCAACTATTATCCCTTGGAATGTTTTAGGTAATTATCACACGTTCGAATAGTCCGTTATGTGCCGCCTCTACACGGATTGTCTCCGTTTTGCACTGCTGTAAGATAGGGTTGGCGGACGGGCGGACCGAGGTTAAGCCGGGATGATTAGTGAACATACGTGCACAAAATACATGGTGGCAAGGGGGCAGCGTATCGTCATTCTGTCTGCAATGGACCTAGAATTCCTCTGTTGAGATACTACCTTGTAATTGGCCTCTGATGGTGAGTTTTGTCGCATGTTGTTCCGCTATGTCGACTGTGTTTTCCTTGATTCCACCAATTGGTTGGTGGAGTCTCCGTAGCGTGACTTCGGACCGATAGCATTATCGTACCGTACCGTACCCTAGATATACATCACATCGAGACTAGAACCCCAACCCTCACATTAACTGGTGCTGATAACGCGCCAATCCCTTGCAAGTGAGCTGCCGAGGTTGAAATGCTTGCACTTATGCTGACGAGATGACGTGACTGGCCGGCAGCTCTGATCTAGTGAATTGCCTCTCCTGGCTCCGTGAAAACAAAACTGCTGCACATTTCCGCTGGAATCGAGTCGTCTTGCGGATTATCACCATCCTTGTACTGTGCTGTATACTGTAATTAGGCCTGTCATCCTTGATCGAGGACAATGGCAGAACCCGCGCACTCCTCGCTCTTTGAAAAAGCGATGGCCGTGACCCCGATCGGTCCCAACACCTACTCTGCATGGCTTGACCCGGCCTGGTGTATTGGGAAGGGTAAGAAAAACCGAACCCCTCACCTGCGGTATGCAAGATCCCGGCAGAGGCTAACAACAGTGACTGGAATCGCTGCAGTACCACACGGTGGCTACACCATGAGTATTTTTTATCGAACCGCGGCTGTGCACTTCGCTCGCAAACAAAGCAGAGCCGAACCGATTGCTCTGCAACTGTCGTTCCTGCGACGGACACTCGCCGGTCCCGCTGTCTTGACCGTCCAGGAAATCAAGATCGGGACGAGGATCAGCACGATCCACGTATCCCTATCGCAACCCCGCAACAACCCCGGCCCTGCGGCAGGAACCACGCCGGAAGTGCAGGACGAGAAGGACCATGGGCGTGAGCTCGAGGTGAAAGTGGTCGGATATATCACCGTGAGTCCACCAGCGTACGAAGTGGGTCCGGCCGTGACAGGCCCTTGGCAGGCTACTCTCTCTCCACCCGAGGTCGACTTCCGTGCCTTAGCGGAGAAAGGAGGCGACGGTGCATGGGTGCGCAACCAGTCCCCTCCGCCTGGACTGTTTGCAGCGGGACATGCGGAGCTCTTCTTCCCGGTGTTTACCCTCGCGTCAGCCAAGACACTGGAGGACCAGGTGAAGGGGGTGGTCGAACAATGGGCGCGCTTCACGCCGGGAGGGGAACCCGCTCGGTGGTCGAATGAAGCCGTGCTGTACTTGGCGGATATGTTTCCTCCTGCATTGAACCGGATGGGTGCGATGGAGATACAGAGGCTAAAGCAGGCCGGTGCGATTTCCGCAGAAGCTAAGGCTGGGCCGTTCTGGTATCCCTCCGTCACCTTGAATGTGGATTTGAAGACCCGGCTTCCGGCAGAGGGGGTCGAATGGTTGCATTCGCATGTCGTGACGCGGATGCTCCGTGGAAGTCGGGCGGACTTGGAGGTGGTCATCCACAATGAACAGGGGGAGCTGGTGGCGACGAGTACACAGGTGGCTTTGGTGGTTGATGCGGCGAGAAATCTGAAGGGCAGGGAGGCTTCTGAGAGATTATAGTTCTGGTAGCATGAATTGCCTGTGTATGGACAATCACTTGAGCATAAAGCACTCGCTCACTAGCCGAACAGAAGGATCAGTAGAGTGTCGTGAGAAAGTGGGCGTAAGCGATTCACAATTCGTTCTCTGCACCACGCCGACGCTACACCCAATGATGTTGCAGCCTAAGAATAAATGTCACTCTCAATAGCGCTCAATTCCTCGGCACTTGATCTAATCAATAATGACGCCGAGGTATGCGAACTGAAGCAAGAAAAGCAGGGAGCGTGCGCAGCAAGAAGACCCAACCCCGGATTAAGACACGATGCACGCAGGAATGAGAACATATAAAATCTTGTTCATGGCTATTCACCGGAGTTACTTCGGAAGGCAGCACTCCATATCCGACCCCAAATCACACCAACAGTAGAGCAGAACAATGGCTCCAAGCACCACCTACCAATACCAACCCATCATAACCGCCGAGGCAGACCTCCCTACCGCCCGCAAACGCCGCACCATCTACCTCCGTCCCTTCCTCCTCTTCTACCTCAGCTCCCTCGTGGCAGAGACCATCTTCCTGGCGGTCGGCGTCTTCATCATGAGCGGCACCCGCGACCTCTTCTATAAGGTCCTGTGGACGCTCGTCTTCTGCCCGCTGGGCATGGGCGGCGCCATGGGGGGCTGATTAACCTGTTCATCGTCGACCACCACTACGGCAAAAAGGCGGCGCATTTCACGGGCATCCTCTCGTTGCTGGTGCTCAGCAGCTGCAACTATCTGTGCTACAATCTGGATCGGAATTTTGGGTGGTTCGGGGCCACTGAGCATCCGATGTGGTTCCATTGGCGGTATCCGATGATCTGGGGGGTGGGGTATGCGAACGGGTTGCTGTTATTTACGGATGAGGGGCAGAAGAAGTTGGCGCGGTGGGGGCTTTAGATTACTTCAGGTTCCTGCTGGGACTGGACTTCGATGGGCGCTGGAGGCAACAAGGAGCTAATATGGGTCTGGAAATCTGCCACGGTTTTCGGGTAGAGGGGGACAACTAGCCTCTCGAGTGCACCCTATGCTATAGACCATGTGGAGAGAAGAAACAAATGATTGCTGAAAATATGAGGGAAAGCACGTCATCATAAGATATCCTGGTTGTAACACCTTTGGCTTGAGCCTTTGCAACAAATGACGATTGTGTGCTGAGGACTTTCTCTAAAGTCTGCTTGTAAGATGTGTCTTATTAGTCGAGAATACTCTCTTTCACCTGTAGCAATAATAGCAAATGGATGCTGGGGTCAATGTCTAGAATCAAGTTGATTATACATCACACCACGCGGGCTCCCCGCAATGGTGCACTGCTGTGGCGAACCGGGAATGAACTCAGACCTTGGCAGAGATATTTGGAATACTAATCGAGCTCTTTTCCGGTAGATCGAGCTTTACGAATGGTCGGAAGCATTGTCACGGAAAGAAAACATAAAGATCTTGGCCCCTTGGTACGTATAGTAGGAGGAGTAAAGAGGATCTTCGCGCACTAAGTTAGGCCCTTGCTCTCACCAGAGGGAAAGACAGGTAGCTGGCTGATTCTGTTCTCGGTCGGTATGTGCCGCACAGTATAAAGTTCTGGGCAAGGGGGAGGGGGGGCCCCTTGAGGGACGAATTCCGCCTTTTTGTGGCCTTAACTTCTTTGATCACTGCGACGCGGAGCAGGGTGCTGCGTTGAAGGGCTAGGTAGTTGAGTGGATACGCTGGATGAATTAGAAACATATCGAAGAAGCTGAGAGTAGATGGGGAGGGGGAGTCATACTTAATCTAAAACAAGAAGGGCTTAGTTCTCAGAAGCCTAACTCGGAATGCGTACTACCTCGGAAATAATTTCCAAATTTGATTATGGTGTCCAGGGGTGAAGCTCGGGATGACGGAAGGGGTGACGAGGCCACGGTCCACACGTTGAGAAGTGGAGCACCACTCTGTTCAATAATATTATCTATGTCTACTATAGGACAAAATGGATGCACATTAGCATCGAAGATGTTAAAGGTAAATGGAAAAAGGTGAAATCGCATAGAAAATGAAGACAAGAAGAAATTGGCCAAGTAACGCTCGACGGGGTAATCCGTGGAGACTCTCCCTATACCCCAGGGATTATACGGCGCTGGAAGCGATCCACATTTGGGGTCTAGAAGACAACAAGTCTAGTAGACAACAAGTCTAGTAGACAGGCAGCTTGAAAGCAGGGAAAGTGTAGTAGAAAGTATCGGCTCCCTCGTCGTCGCTCTCGCACTTCCACGCATCCTTTTTCCAAACAGGCCGCTTGGGGAACTGGCAGAGCTGCTGCACTTCCCCATCGTACGCGCCCGCATCGACCGTAGCGTTGAGACCGGTAGGCTGGACCCCGCTCTCAACCCACTTGATCATAGTGGCCATGTTGTCCTCGGGGAAGGGGCCGTTGGGCTGCAGGCTGTTGCGGGCGCAGTGGGCGGCACCGGGCACCAGATACAGCTGGTACCACTCCTTCATCTGCTCGATCGCCTTGGAAGAACCCAGGCTGGGGTACATAATCTTCATCACCGACTGCCAGTAGTGGACGGACGATGCGGTGGGGACACTGGGGTCGGATTCGCCGTGGTAGTGAATGAGCTTGCCGCCGGAGGACTGGAAGGTAGTAAGGTCGGGCAGGGTGGTCTGCAGAGTATCCATGTAGAGAATCATCGCCTCGTTCATCCACGAAACCAGAGTATCGTAGGTGACGTTGTTCAGATTATCAAGGTTATCGACCTCAAGCAGCTCAATGAAGCGACCGACGAATTCTCCGCCGGTGGAGGGAATGTCCAAACCCCAGGACTTGGTGGAGTTATCGTACTCGGTTTCTGCATCGGTAAACTCGGCACCAATACGGTAGGAGAGGTAAGCCCGCTCGCCCTGGGAGTTGAACAGTCCGTCGTAGATGGCCTGCGCGACGGCCACACCTTCCGCAGTTACATTACCGCGCTGCGCCGGAGTGGTAGTAGTCTGGGTGCCGTCGTTACGCTTACCAAAGTTGAAACCGAGAGAGGTACTGGTGGTCGCGGCGCAGTAATAGGACTCGCCGATCACGGAGGTCAGGTTGAACTCCAACTGGCACAGATCGGAGCGGGAGATGACTCCATCAGAGCGTCCATCGAGAGGATCACAGGCGCTGATGGTCGCGTTCACGATCTTCTCCAGTTCACAGGGAGGGGGGAAGTAGTCGAGCGTCTGCTCGACGACAGCGGAGAAAAGGTGGTTCACCTGCTGCTGGCCGTAGCGGAAGGCCGGGGCTCCGATGACGGCGCCGTCGTACAGGTCTCCGTAGCGCTGGATCTGGCTCATACCTGGGACAAAACGAGAGGATCAGTATGTCCCAGCGTTCATTTGCATTGGTAAGACCCACCTTCTCTGCCGCCATCCGAGCACCCCTCGAAGTAAGTGTACACCTTGGCCTCATCGTCTAGGTTGTAGAACGCCCGAGTCAAAGGCTTTCCGACCGTAGTCATCTCACCCAAGCCCTTGTAGGCAAACATGAAGATTGGGTCCCAGTTGATGGTGCCGTTGCCGAGGAGGTTGACTTCGTCGACGGTGGTACCGGAGAGGGCGCCGTAGCCAGCATCGGTGGCACCACCCACAGCTCCATACTCCAGCCCTCCAGTGATGCTGGTGCTCAGAGTGTAGCCGAAGCCACCAGCCACGTAGAAGCGGTTGGCAAAGATTTCAGGGCTGGGGAAGCCGTAGTTGAGGACGACCTCATCGCTGCTGCCGGTGTGGACATAGGAAACGGAAACGTCGCAGTATTCGTAGCCGGAGCTGGTGGCAGTCTTGGCTGTCACGGAGGAGGGAATCATGTCAATGCCGAGGAGAGTGCCATTGGCAGGAAGTGCCGACTGGACGTGAGCGACGGTACAGAGAGTGGCAAGCGACGAGGAATTGGTGGCGCGGGCAGTTGCTGCCAGAGCAACGGCGGCCGCGGCAGCACGCGAGTATTGACGCATGGTAGGAAGACTTGACAATGGAGGAAAAAGAAAGGATAAAGAGAGTGAGCGAAGGACTGTTTGGATAATCAAGCCACCGTGAAATGAAGGATGGGAGCCTTTCTTATAGGAGTGTGCTGTACTGGTAGTTGTAGTACTACTCGGAGATACACGTGTAGGTGCAATTCGGAGATTAGATGGGAGATCAGAGGTCACCACTGCCAAGCTACGAACGCGCGTCCAGAACTGGTTCAGAACTTCAGATATGGTAAAGACCCACCGATTGACCCAGGGGGTTAATTAAGCTTCATCAGTTGTCTCACGATGAGGACTAGCCAAACAATTAAGCTTAAATTCTTTTCCGTGCCGTCGTCCGGTGGCCAGCCCTAGTTACCTTCTTGACTATGCAAGCTGACGGGCATAGTGGCCACCAGGGCGTATTCAGTGTTTATGCGGCCTGTCATAAAGTCAACTCACTCATTAACGTTCAATAAGATCAGTGCTTCAGGTTTTAAGGTTGCATTTGGAGCAGAAACATAAATTCAAAAAAGCGTAAGCCGGTGGATCTTAGGGTCCACTCGCCACCGGTGACCGAGAAAGCATTTATCCGGATGATGCTCCAGGCTCCAGGCTGCAGCCAATGCCTTCCGGATCAGGTTCGAATCCCGGTCCGAGATTCATCGGCGGTTCTGTTTCTTTCATCCCACCGAGAGGGTTAGCAGAAGCTGGGCTCGAGTCAAGTTTCAGGGACTTGCCCTGTTCGGGCGGACGGCTGAATCTTCATCGATCGTGAGGATGTGCTGAAACGGCTTGCACTGCATATTTCCCCACTTATCTTGCTTTCGGTACCTGAAGAGTCTGGGACATATGTTTACCATGCGGTGGGCCCGCGTAGAAGTGGAGGGCTATTTTCTTTCATTCAAGCACTCGACCAAATAACGGATACATATATTGGACACGAGTAACGGGGGAACAATGCGGCGGATTGCATAAAAGGTGAAGGGCTTCGCCTTCGGCGATCAAGTGTGTGGTATGGCATCAGGAACGTTCAAGATATTGGTTCTAAACAAGGCCCATACCACCATTAAATTTCGTGACCACCTAGCCTCTACGGAGGAATTCCCAGCAGTCTTTTTAATGGCGTTATATGTATGGTATTGCTCATCTAGGTCGCCTTCAAAAAGGCGGGTCGATTCTCATTCACTCTGCTGCCGGTGCTGTTGTCAGGCTGCCTACCCGCTAGCCTGTGATCGGGGCGCCGAGAGTTGCTCTTTGCGAGAAAGCTGGGATTTCTGGCGCCGGTGACTCTGTACCTCGAGACGACGTTGACGTTTGGCCCGCCGCTCATAGATACATCCTGTTGATCCTCATGTTCCGGGCAGGCTCGCTTATGTTTCCAGATTATTGCCCAAGTCTCTGGTTAGCATCCTTTTCTCTTGCACGGGCGACCATCTTCTTTTGAGGTGATGTCGTAGGGCTTTGCGAACCTCTTCATGCATCCATAGACGTATCTTGTTACTATATATATCGGACATGACCATGCCCGACACATTTTGCTGCCAGGGTAGTTTCAAAAGAAACATGAGCTTGTAGTAAGATATAGAATCAGCACTCAGAGAGCCCTCGAAGCGCATTCTGGATCTAGCGCAATTGACTGCGTCTGACATGGGATACTCCTGCTTGGCCGCTCACTCCTACAAATACTACAGTTGGTATGTAAATGCTGTGTTACATAATTCTAGCACATACGACCACAGGGTGTGGAAAACAGGGCTTCCCGTCCGCTCAGCCGTACTTAAGCCACACGCCGGGAGGTTAGTAGTTGGGTGGGTGACCACCAGCGAATCCCTTCTGTTGTATGTTTTTGTCTTTTTGCAATTTCCATTGCCTACTAACGTTACTATTTATAAAAGCTTTGCTGGGTGTGTCTTGTATGCTTAAGTATTCCCCCTCAGTTAACCTCATCCCGTTTACAGACCCACTCTATCTTTGCCAACCCTAAAAACCTAGTCTCCGCGGCAGAGTCTTCAAGGAACCCCACATTCGACGCGCCCGCGGCTCCCTTCCCTTTGAACCCTTTGGTCCTGCCATCCGTGCAGGGAGCATAAGCATCTCGTTCCGCTCGGGCGAGCGCAACCCGGTATCCGTTGAGAAGGTCAGATAGGGTTGGTCCTGGGGACCCGACACGACGACCCCGATGCTGACGGGAAAGAGATGGGCGTCAACGTCATCCGAGGGCCGTCCCGAGCACAGCGCTTCGATGTGAGCGCTGCTTGCGCCCCATGCAGGGAACCCTGCCGGCACATCATGATGGTGTCGCACTAAAGAATGCAGCAGCAGGCCTGCCACCATAACGACCCCGCAGAGGGTTGCCAGAACAATGGGCAGAAGGGCGTACCCGACGGTCGAACCGGAGAAGTGCGGGAAGTTGACCTTCTCGCCGTTGGTGTCGAAGCCGATGGTCTGCACCACGAAGAGACTCTGTGAGACGAGCCAGTGTAGCAGGATCATGGCGATGGTTAGCGTGAGCGAGTAGGTGAGGGGCAGGGAAAGGAGATAGGACGAGCGCTGCATGCCCCGCGGGGTTGACACGCGAAGAGCCTTCTTCCCGTCCGGCCGGAGGAAGCGCACCCACTGGTCGGCGACGAGCTGGTGCGTCAGGATGTTGTTGTAGAAGAGGTAGAGGAAGCTGACGAGGAGCTGGATGATGTTGGCCAGGAAGACGCACTCCATCAGGCTGTAGTTGCTGGTTTCGCTGTTCATGCCGAGGAAGCCTGGGTTGAGCCCGAAGCCGAGTTGCACGATGGATGGGAGGCTCATGTCCAGGCCCCGGCCTTTCCAGAAGACCACTGAGTCGACCAGTATGGCTAATGGAGCGGCTATACCTAGCATGAATCTGTTGTTTCTCGGTTAGCACTGCAATGTACATCGGTTCGGCCTCTGGGTGCGGGAGGGAAACTCACAAACTCAACGATATTGCCCAAGCCTTGCGATGGATGGTCTTGAACCATGATACACTCTTCTGAGCGCGCCAGACCTGTGGGTATACATGGACCACTTGCGAGTTTGACATATCACCAGGATACTCCAAATATTCTGCAACCGCGTCGCCCATCAGAACCATAGTCTTCTCCGTGTAGCGTCGAGCAGACTTTGTGCGGTACGACCACCAAACCCTTAAGATAAAGCCGCATTGAAGTACTGTGCACGCACTCACAACAGCAAAGACCTGTGTTCCATAGTGCAGTCCGCACCGCTGGCTAATATCGCTCTCGGCCCCGACAAGGCAGTGATCGACCTTGACCCAGAATGGCCATCCCGGCCGGCCTTCCTCCTGGTGAGCCCACGCGACAACCGCCCAGTCATCGATAAAAGTACTGGCCCATTCGCGCGTGCACAGGCGGTTGTAGTCTGGTAGGTTGTACGCCCCGCAGATCCACCAGGGGGCATGGCTCCAGACATCCCACCCTGTAACCCAGCCGTCGAGCAGGGTGCGGTTGTAGTTCTGCGCCGCGGTGATGTTGGCTGCGACGACCACTAATGGTCCTTTGGTCGTAAGACCGTCGATGTACGCATCGATGCACCCTTGTTTGTCGAGATGGGTGAAGTTGGCCATTTGGTTGTAGAGGTCGTGTACCGCAGACCAGTTCTTGTCGGAGAGAGTGGGCGGGATGGAATCCAAGGCCCAATCCCGCCCTACCGTCTGGAAGTCGCTCGTCACTGTGGCTGTTGCATAGCTCACGACTGGGGTTGATGTGAAGGTGAGCGAGTTCCAGCTAGAACAGCGCAGACGCTGGGTATCAGCATTCACCCTATCATAGGAACAGCAACCGTAAGAACTCACAATAAATGCAAACAAATCGACAACACCCCAAGCCCTATCCACTTGAATAATCTCCCAGACTTGATCCAGCGCAGATTGCGAACACTCTGAACCCCGATGTCGAGCGATACCCCACGAGCATGTGCCACGTCCATCTCCCGCCGAGACGGGGCAACTAGAATCTGCATACAGTAGCTCCCCGCCCCGAGGAAAAGCGACGACAGCACGTTGAGAGCCACGTGGGCGGCGCTATTGATGCTCGTCATCTCCGTGCAGTCACCCATATGGATGGTCCCGATGCCTCGTTCATCTGGGGGGAAGAACACCCAAAAGCAGATCAGTGTCACCACATTCGCCAGACAGATGACGGCCGCCGTGATGAATTGGTTGCGTAGCATGGTCGACTGCTTGGATGCGGCGCTTTTGCGCGTGGTGGATCGCACATGGTGCTCGTCGACCTCGGGGATATACTTCCCGAGCAGCCCTTTGCTGGCGTATCTGGGATACGGGGTATCTGACGTGTTGTGGGCCTCATCGTTACTGGAATCAGTCTTTATGGTCTCCGCTTCAGTCTCGTTTTCATTTGCGATAGAGATCCCTGGCGTTAAAATAGCGGGGTATCGTGTTGCTGTGGTTGGTGAAAGGAGGGGCTCGTCTTCGTGTGCCGGCCCCGCATCGGGTAGGCAGTTCATCTCAATGCTGTGCCTGGGATCCATCGCCGGTCATCAGAGCGTCCACTCGCGCAACAGTGACAGCAAGTCTTCACGTTGCGAGAAGCTTCAACGTTCCCAGCCACCGCCATAGCGAACCCACATCACGACTGTATGCCAAGACCCCGGCGCTAGAGCAATGCGGTGCTAAGGGCTCTGCCACTCCCCGTAGCCTTATCAACCTGATCGTTCGCGTGGTAGCTAACCTAATCCATATCTTGGCATACTGAGCTATCTTATGCTTGCCAATCACACACTGCACACACCGGTGACGGCCCGGAGCTCGTGCTTGGCGGTGGCCTAAGCACTGAATGCCAAGAACAGACATCAGCGAACATCGAAACACGGTGCACATATAATTATTGGCTTACATGCAGACGCTATTGATAGTTGGATTCCCTAAATTTCAGATATGCGGAATGCCCTTATATTGACTAGAAATCGGAGGCAACCGCTCGTCAGCGAAGCAAAGCACCTACTAGGGTAGAGCATGATACTTAGCCTTGCCGACATTGCCGAAACGTATACAGACAAAAATCAGAAAAAGAAAGAGTAAGGTGATGACTGCAGCTTATTTGCGTTTCTGTCTGCAGTCTTCTCGATACTGGCTGCAAAGCTGTAAAGTCAAAGCAAGCATTCGCGCTGAGGGCGTTCGAGCTTGGGAGCGGCTAGGGCAGGCTCAGGGTAACAATCTTTGAGATCGAGTTAATGTACAATGTTTCCGCTCCAGAAAGCTGACTTAAAATTACGGCCATGCTTTTCACTAGATCAGTCCTGCCGGCGGGTGACTGGAGTGAGACCGAATAATTTGGCTGTCACACCATTTTCGCAAGCTACCAAGCTCCGCACGAGCCTCGGTGTCGAGCATGGCGGGCGATTACAGCCATAAAGTTGGGTGATTTGTTTCTGATGTACAAATGAAGTGTGAAATACCTTTTTATATGCAGACTTCATCATATACGTCACTGTACTATTTATTTTGGGGTTTTATGCATGTAGGAGATAGCATGTATGTCTATGCGCGTGGAACAGAACAGGTGAAAGCGAAAAAGTATCGATAGTAACTATTTGAAAGCTAGAGGAGGCAACAACTAACGGGAGACAAAGATCAGATGAAGATAAATTATAGATGCAGCAGGCAAACTGAGTTCCCAATTCGATGTACTGTAGTTATAACCAATATTGCAGTCGTCAGACACATTTACAGGCCGCCATACGAGGTTTACCTCAAGATCAAAATGTTCACCACGATTTCAGGTACCAGGTTGGGCTTGCTCGCGGGTAAGCAAATTCAATGGTGATGGGAGGTCCCACTTCTTCTATGTCGCTCGAAGTGGTTCCGAACCCCTCTGCCCGTCTCGATCGGTTGTGAGGGAACTACCACCTTCCTAGAGTCGGTTCGCGACGAGCCTGGTGTCGCTTCCAGCGAAGTTGTGAGCACGACCGGGGCGCTGGAGATTGTATCACTCACACCACGATCATGGTCTTGATCGCGAAGCCGTCCCATCTTCTTCAGCTCCTTCTCACAGTCTGTGGACTCGCATCTGATGAGACCCATGTCCTCAAACACTTCTTCCGGGGTTGCTCGACGAGACGAGTTCCCTTCATCCACTACCCAGAAGTCAGAGCTCTCCCGTTTCGCAATATTTCTCCCGATTCGAGGCGCAGTCTTCCCCTGGGTAAGCGCAGCAACTGGGGGGAATGCGTAGGCGGCCGAATTATGCTGCTGCTGGACTGCCACGTACCAAGGGTCGTTGGTGAATAGAGCAAATCCTGGATCGTCCGTAATCACCACCGGCAGGCAGGGATTGTCGCTCATGGAATAGCCCTGCACATTGGTGAACTCCATGACCAGCCCGTTCAAAGTGTATATTGTCGAGACAATCTCGGTGCACGTGCTGCTGGTGATCGGCCCACCCTGGGTGGTGGTCGTCTTGCGGGACTGCGCACAGCCCCCATTCCACAGCTTTCCGACGCCACGATTCTCGCTTCCGGGTAGGAAGCGGATCCATTGAGTGTATGGTGATCCGGTTCTTTCCACATATGCGAAGGGCGGATATTCGTCGAGATCACAGCGGTTGTACTTGTAGCGGGCGGGGAGATTAGGGACCCATGACCGCCATGCAGCATCATGCTGCTGGGTCCAGGTAGATGTGGCTGTGCGACTGACCAACTTATTGACGGGGCAAACCAGCGTGGAATACTGGTGTAAGTCGATCACCGAGCTATAGTGTGCGCATGCCTGAGGGTATCTGTTGCCATCGCAAGTGACGGTTTTCGGGCTCGAGGTGAGGGTGGTGATGGTGGTGTGAGATGTGGTAGTCGTGGTGCATGCTTGGGCCGTCACTGATGCTGGATAGACCCGGTTTTGCTGGGGTTGAAACTGCCCGTTCGCATTCCAGTGACCGGGAATGTTGTTCACGAGGTAGTTCCCCGCGGCTACTAGAGAAAGAAAGCCCACTATGGCCCAAAAGCATTCTTGGAATGTGCTCAGATCGGGGGCGTCTTTCAGGAGTCGGACAGACGTTGCATCTTTGCGAACAACGCCCAGTCCACCTGTAAGGGCATTGTTGACATTGGTCTGTGGACAAACCGCGAGGGAATTGGTGTAAATCTCTTCGCAACAGTAGCTGGAGAAGTGCCCGGTTTTACAGCCAGTGCTTGCGCCACCAATGTGCGTATTCTGGGCGAGTAGAATGGTACCTGCAGGGCACGTTTGGGAACAGCCTTTAGCCTTTCCGTACCACTGGCAATTGACTGCCTGAACATCGGATTCCACGCAGAGGCCGCGATTGAATCCTTTCCCTCCACCGTGACACCCATCGCCCGTATAGACACCTTTGTCGGCATCGTACACCTTTCCGTGGCCCGTTGTCCACAGCGTAAATCCTGCGTTACACTGAGGCTCAGCAGCACAGTCAGTCCAGTAGGAAACCAGGTTGACAGCATTTTGGGAGCTCGTTGCCGACAGCTTTCTGACTGCAAAAGCAGGATTTGCAGAAACGTCGTCCCCTATCAGCTCTAGTCCAGCTGCATTCAAGTTCACGGATGCTTGCTTGGAAGTATTGTCGTCCATGTCGACTGACCAGACCATGCGTCCGCCTAAGCATTTCTCGTTCGCAAATGTCCTCTTAAGATCAAGCGTCTCCGAATCGTCATATGATACCCTGGAAATCAAGTGGTTCAGCGCTCGGTTTTGATGAGAAAGTGTAGTTTCCCTTGATTTACCATTGGTTCTCATTCCAAACAATGTATTTAATCCCGGCTGCTTCATCAAAGGTCGGCGTGAGGCCATGCTCGGAAATCACCCCCTGAATCTCCGCATCTGATAGGATGCCGGATGTGGCTGTGCATTGCCCAGGATCACCACCACTACTGAACGGACATCCAGGGGCGGTGCAAGATGTATCAGACAGAGTGAAAGACCGGCCGTAGAATGCTTCTCCGAGCACTACCTTCTGAGGATCGATTTCATTGCGCCAGAGTAGATCGAGCCCTTCCTTGATCTCTAAAGTCCCGAGGGTCACCATCGAAGTATTCTACGGTATGAGAAGGACAATACACACCGGTCAAATTTGTGTGTGGCTGCACGACAGACTTTGTATAAGGACTATTGCCATCCCACGTGCCATGGATATCATAGCTCATAAAATGAAACCAGTCAACATAGGGTTCCATTCCCGACACGTCAAAACCTTGAAGATACCCTATGGTGCAAAGTCAGAGGTGAAAACGGGCTTGTAGGTAACAGATAACAAACAATATGAGGAGGGCAAGGTGACCGTAACCGTATATCTATTCCCGCAAGCTGCCTTCAGCTCTTTGACAAGAGCGACATAATTTTCTGTGTCCGCCGCAAGACCACCTCTGTCCGATGCGGCTGGATATTCCCAGTCCAGATCAATCCCATCAAAGCCGTAGCTCGCCATGAAAGAAATCACCGAGTTAATAAAGGTTGATCTTGTCGCTGAGGTACTGACCATATCTGAAAATATCGTTCCGCCAGCATCCCAACCCCCCACCGAGATCAGGGTGTTCAGACCTGCACGGGACTGCTTAAGCCCGGTGAATCTGGGATATAGTTCTGTGTCGAACGAATTCCCTTGCGCAATTCTATAGTCGGAGCCAATGAGCGCAAATGCATAGATAAGATGTGTCCAGAGTCCCGGGTCGATGTTCTCCGGACTCCAGGAGTTGCACGTGCGCGTGTAAGCCGAGCTCGAGTAGTATCCAATTATCCGCGTATCGCTACTCGAGCCAGAGCAAGACCTACCAGGAGAGGATTGAATGTATAAATATTTAGTTCAATTAAATGAAAGAAGAAGACAAACGGTTGTAGGTCCGACTCACGGTTCATTCACCTCATCACATCCTGTAATGCACCCTGTTCCACAGAACTCATCTGTTGTTCCGCAGAAGCCATACTGCGAGCAGCACACCTGCAAGGGACAATCATAACTATCGGTATCGGCGTACGCTATGCCATGTCAATATAGCGCATACGAGGAATTATCTCCGATAAATAGTTCACTCACGACCGCATTCCGCCTTTGCATCGCAGGAACTGGTACAGTTCCCCTCGCCACAGAAGGTAGGTCCGAATCCACAAAACCCACTGGTACTACAACATCCCGAAGTACAGTCTTCGGTGGACGAGCAGCTTCCACTGGGAATGTTGGCAATGGCCAGCTGACTGAGCTCCAGAAGGCTAACGAAGAGCAATAGAAGAGGCATCCTGTTGCTTTTGAAAGGCATAGACACGCGCACAGCTTGCAAGGCCAGGAAAGATTATATCTCTTATTCTATCTGCGCCATTGCCTTTCTCTTCAACCTGGCATTGGTCTACTACCACTTTCCCAATTCTTACATTCCCCCGAGTCTAGTCCAGGGTCCGTCAATAGCTGCTAATAGACGGACAGAGATATTCCAATCGGGCCGCTTGCTCATTTCGCTTCCACAATATCAGAAAAGGGGTAAATAATGAATAGCTCAAAATTGAGATTGTAAGATAGAACGACATCAAGGAGTTATACTCAACTGTGAGCTTTCAAGCTCACGCCACCGGGTACCTGATCCTGTCTGTCCCTTGGTTTGGTTACTAGTCTCGGGCTTCTCGGCTTTCCTGCTAAATTTGGGATCGGCATGTCTCGATATGGTAAGGCTTTTAACGCTCAAGATCGCCGTTTGTCGACCATTATAATTTAGTGCAGAGAAGACCCTAAAAGACCCCGGTTCATGGCTAGTGCTTACATGGCTGATTTAGTTGGTTTGCTTCGAGTGGGTTAAAATGACGCTCTGGGCATTTGATTGACGGGATCACTATGACATTCACTTAGTTTCGCTCCTGCAATCTCAACCCACTCAACGTGATCACTATCGGGTTGGCTTAGTGTATCTTCGAATTGAGCGGGTAATTAATTTACTTGTTGGCTCCCGTCGATTGCGTAACGGCCGAAAAAGACTAACAATACTGTTAATACAGCTTATAAAACAGACAGAAGTGATAAAGCAACCTTGGGTTTCTAGTACTTGAAATGTCTCCCCATCTCGTTTTTCTTCTCGTACCTCTCGCATAACTTACAGCAATGAACTCACTATGGTTGTGTTTCGCCCTACTTGGCTTTGGGCAGCTGTCCTTGGCCACGACGCTATATAACGGTGCGCAAAAACAGCTTTTCTCGTCCAACATCACCGATGCCTGCGACGCTGCGTTCAATACCACCATCGACTGCCCAGAGAACGTTATCCAATATGTGACATATCCTATTCAGTCCGTCAGTCAGTGTTTCAAGCGCCTCAATCTGGAAGCTTTCCCCTGTTATTGATACTAGTAGATTGGAACACCTCGTGGATGAACGACTTGTGTACTAGCGAATGCAAGTCATCTTTGGCAGCACTAGCCACAGCTGTAGACACCAACTGCAAAGATAACTTCATTGTGGATAACCAAAATTGGACCTTTCCATACTTCATGAGTCATTTCGAATACAAATACGATCTTATCTGCTTGGCCGATGAGAGCACAAACGAGTATTGCCTGGATGTGGAAGCCAGGTAAGCTTCGAGTGGCGCATTTTTGCGCGCAGGCAAACTAATGAATGTCATTGCGGATTAGTTGGAATATCACTGAGATGATGCTCGTGGATGAAGCCAGCTGGCCTACTTACACAAACAAGTGCTATTATGATGCGTCAGAGGGTTACTGGGAATACGTGGTGGACGTAGATGGCACGTGTCTCAGCCCCTTCGACTTTACATTCGAGAACGCGAGCAGCATGGCTGGGCTAGGGAAGATGGAAGCCCTGGACTACTACCTTACCAGACCTGATCCTATTGATGACGACAACTACGGTTGGTATGAGCCCTTGGAATATGATGAATATCCATTGGAAATTCAATGCTCTTCTTGTTTTTTGTAGGTCTTCTCGATCATTGATCTTGTGGCCTTGCGACTAAATGATCTACAGGCAGAAATTTAGATATGGGTTGGAGTCCCCTTGGGGAGATGTCTGGGAGTATGGTCATTATTCGCTGCCATTTGCGACCTCGACTGACATGATCAACAGTAACCTCACTGCACAAATTTGGACCAATATGCAGGCGAACTGTGGGTGGAGCAACTTGACAATAAGCCCTTCCAATGATTACTCCGCCCATGAAACTGCGTACGTTTGAAATATAAAGTACAAACGTGCGAATTCCTAGCTGACATATACCAGTGATATCATATTTGACACCGATCCTGGCCCAGTCACCGATGTCTGTCCTCAGACATTGAACGTCACCGGATTCATGAACATGACATGTCAAGAAGCCACCGTGTACTTTCAAGTGCCTTCGGCCGGATTGATGAATCTCAACAATGATTTGAACTGCATGACACTGATCAACCGCACAATATGTGCGCCCTTGTCTTGCCCAATTACTACAGTTGACATTGACAACAACATCATTACTGTTGCTGAGTGGGTTGCGCGGTATGCGAATTTTACTCTTACGCAGTTTCTGACCTGGAACCCATACATTGGACTGAGCATTATGGCACACGGAGATACGGTGTGCTCTGGGTGAGTCTGAGATATCTTTCGTTGAATGTTATAGCTAACTCCCATCTTAGTCCTCCGGGTGGTGCTTATGTTGTGCCCTCCGCTACTGCTTCGGTGAAAACGATATATACCACAGCAGCAACCCCGACAAGTCCTGTTCCTTCTGGTACCACTGCTGAGTGTGGCTTATACTATACGGTCGCAAGTGGTGATGACTGTGCTTTAATCTGCGAAGCATACAGTCTAACACTGGACCAATTCAAGTGTATGTTGGAGACCTCCAAGATCTGAAGACTAGACACTCATTCCAGCAAACAGTATTAAACCCTTCGATTAATGCCACTTGCGGCAATCTGCTAGCAGGTGATGATTATTGGTACGTGGACTCTCTTCCCATCCCTCAAAGCACTAATTCCTCATCTTCTTTGGGAGAACTAACCCATCAATGTGCCCCTCCAGTGTTGCGCCTATTAATGGAACCTATGTCACAACGACGACACCAACAACTACCATTTCCACCACCGCAAGCTTTGTCACTCCTCCTAGCGCGACCGTCACCGGCACCACCTCCGAGTGCTACCAATATTACGAAGCGCAGGCCGGTGACGGCTGCGACAGTATCGAGTCCAAGTACGGGCTCACTCAGGCCGAATTCATCGCTCTGAACACATACATCGATTCCTCTTGCAGTAATCTATGGCCGGGCTATAGCTACTGTGTAGCGGGAATTCCCCTTGCTAACATTAGCAGCAGCATAACAGCTACCGCCACGACGACGACGACCGGTGAGGTCACCACCCCAACACCAACCCAAACGGGCATGGTCACCGGTTGCACCAGTTTCTATGAGGCGCAGTCCGGGGATGGATGCTGGGCGATTGCGGTGGATCATGGAATCACACAGGCTGAGTTTATTGAATGGAACCCGGATGTAGCATCGGACTGTAGTGGTCTCTGGCCGGACTACTACTATTGTGTTGCTGTTTAGATGGGAAATGTCCAGGAGATCATCTACTTGCGAGATTTTACTATACAATACTGTAATTGTACTGTATTGTATCAGTTCAATGAGGGGAACCGAATAACTAATAAGTTACTTAGCGGTACTGTGATCACATGAAACCAATTGACTGACCCCCTCACACACGGTCCCTCTCACACGGACCGGACCTTCCGGCACTAGTTCATGTTATCTACCCTACAATCCTCAATCTAATTACACCAAAATATACGCTAAATAAGTGTGAAATTCCCTCTGTGCCCCTGAACCGAACCGGAAGACCCTCTTTCCGCGTCTTTTGACACTTCCAGGAATCCTTCCACGGTCAATACCTTCTGACGTCAGTTCCAATGCGCTTCTGTTCAATAGTCTGCGCTGCCTCAGTTGGCACTTGCATGCAAATCTTCGTCTCTGTCTTTATCATAACCCTCGTCTCATTCCTCTGGAGCCGCCGTCATCACCCGAGAGTCTCGAGGCCAGAGATCACCAACCTTCTCAGACCAGTCCCTCCCGAGATGTCTTCTTCCCCACGCCTCCCGGGGCAGCCGAGCCAAGAGAAGGTAATCGAGGAGGAATACCCGATCGCACGACTTCCATACAACGAGGACACAATTGTTACCCTGGTCGGCGATATCTACCGTATCTTCGTCCAGCTTGGCTACATGAACAACCGCGCCGATGGCGAGAAGGAACTTGTCTGGCCCCCACCAGAAGGCCATTCCATCAATGAAGCTATCTGCAAAGAGCTCAATCTCAGTCCTAAGGTGATCTCCTTGATGCGACGTCTGCCATATCCAGTCTCTTACCACATCGCGGCCGATCTTCCCTTCAAGCCGTGGTCCACAGCATTCGCATACACCGAAGACCGTCAAATTCGAGACGGTCGCGATCCGGGTCGCTGGATTTTCGACGAGCCGCGAACCGATTTCCTTCTCCCGCACGAGATCGCTCTCGCGGGCGCGGATGATGAAGGGATTCACCTTATTCTTGACACACAAGAAAGTATGTTTCCATCGTCAGCTTCCTCGGTGCGATGCTGGCTTTCAGACACCGCATCCCAGAGCATGAGTACCTGCTCACCAATTTAGATATTATCCGAGCACCGGATTGGGAAGAACTCGAGCTAGAAGATGAGCACGGCAATTCCCTCTTCCGAAGCCTTCCTTCCCATCATGCACCAACGTTTTTGGCGGAGTATGTAAACAAGCTCAGGTCTCTGGAGATCATCCCGGGTGGTCAAGAGAGCTATGGCTGCTTCTATGATGAGCATGGTGGGAAGATGGTGCGTAACCCTTCTCTATTCCTCGAGAGACCCTTTTTGCTAATCCGGATTTGTGCAGTACCCAATGATCAAAAAGGTCCTACAGGAGCAGTATGGCTGGCCGTATGATTTTCGAGAGACAGAATGGAAGGCCGCGGCTAGAGACACTCTAAAGCGCCTGGAGCAGTTGTACCCATAGCTTACGGTTAGGACAAAGTGGACATAGATGGTAGTGGAAGCAAACTGTCAGAAAGAGATTCTTGGAGGAACAGCTACTATTGCAAGTCAAAACGAAAACTCCTCCACATATATAGCCCTAGTCCACCGTATCCACAACTCATCTGCACTGCACAAGCCTGATAAGTCGCCTGCACCACCGACAACCCCCCATCCGCCACCAGATTCGATCCATTGGAGTAACTCCCCGCACGGCTGGCCAGATAACAGTATGGTACCAGCCATCTCCTCGTCCCCACCGAGCCGTCGCGCCGGGATGAATCGCTGATCCTGGAAGGGTCCCCACTCAGGCTTGCGGGTGTTGATCAGCCCGGCCGCCAACTCGGAGGAATGAACTGGCATGCATAATTAGCACCCAGCACATCAATACGCGCAAACGCACCCTCAACCAAGATAATTCCGCATACGAAAGAAGAAGAAAAGTGTAAAAGACCTACTCCCGGCGCAGGCACATTAACCCGGAAACCCAAATCTTGCCGGCTGCGAATTAACATGCATCGTGATACGCATGACTAGGCGTCTTACTCGCCCGATACGACACCAAGGAGATCCAATGCCGACGAAATACAGCTATGCTTGTAGCAGGCAATAGTGGCCCGGTTCTGGAGGGAGGTACCGCACTGCCCTCAGGGCTCCCACAGGAGTCTACCGTACCCGCCAGCGCGACCACGCTCATTCCCTGCATCCAGCAAGCTCGAAGAATACAGTTACCGTGCACAACGCCCCGGTGATCTTTACTCCCAGCGCAGGTTGTATCTCCTCCATGGAGAAGTCCGTGAACCGGGGCTGCCAGATCTTCCGCCAGCAAGGCGGCGGTCGGCTCGAAGCGCACGGCGGGGCCCATGTCTCCCCAGTACCATCTGCATGTAATTTCTCTCCGCCTGCCGGCCGGACGCCAAAGCCCTAAGCCATGAGGAAGAATGTCGGCAGACGGCGGGGTGATGTTCGATTCACCATGGTGCCTATGCCAGAACCCAGAATCTTCAGCGCGCAACGGATCAAGCGAAGCTCTATATCTCGATCATGCGGTCTAAATCAGCCGAGCGGGTGATGGCATTTCGCAAATTCTAGATAGCGACTCTGCATGTTCATCTGCTAGGAACTGAAGGCACAGTACATACCCACAGTACTAGTAGAGCCCACATCCCTGATATAGTCGCGGTAGACGTTTCGGCGGGTAGAGACTTTGTGTTTCTGCCGCTTCAAACCGTGGACAGGAATGAATGGCCGGAGGTGTCATAATTACACCATTCAACACCAAAGAGAAAGCAACCACACGCAAGGACGGGACCAGACTACTCACCGCCAGCCACTCATGGTCAATGTTGTTGACTACTACTACTACCTAGGTAGGGATTGACAGTTACTGAGTTCCCCTCACTGCACCTGGCACCGGCACTCAGATAAGCTTCACTCTGAAATCGTCACTTTACACCCTCCATAACAACTAGGAAGAAGACAACAAAAGGCCAAACACAAAGTCCACGGCCAGAGGAACAATGCTGCCCGACCTGCCGCTGGAGCTGGTGCAGATGATCGCCGAGCAGCTGGACCGCGAAGCCGATCTCAACGCCCTCGTCTGCACCACTCGATCCCTGTACAGTCGGCTGAACTGGCGTCTATATCGGCTCAACGCCTACCGCCACCTGGTCCCTCCCGGTCTACCGTATCCCGACGCCGCCGCCGCCGAGTCCGAGTTGCACGGCCAGTCCGCCATCAACTGGGCCGCGCGCCACGGCCGCCTCGGGACCGCGCAGAAATGGCTGAAGATCGTGCGGCAGACACCGTGGATGGACCAGCTGCCGGCGATGATGCGAGCGACGGTGACCGAGGCGGTGTTCCTGGCCGCGGAGCACGGACAGCCCGAGCTGGTGCGGTGGCTGCTGCGCGCGGTCCCGGGGACGGAGGTGAATGCCGTGAGCGGCGTGCGCCACGGGGACACGCCGCTGCTGGCGGCGGTCCGCGCCGGCCAGCACAAGGTAGTGGAGCTGCTGCTCGGCTGGGAGGGGGTCGACGTGCATGCGCGGAATTATTACCGGTGCAATGCGATCGCGCTGGCGGCGGAGGCGGACCATGTGTCGGTGCTGCGGCTGCTGGTGACCCGGACGGAGGCGGATGTGGACGCGCGCGACTACGAGGGCAGCTCGCCCCTGTGGATTGCCGCGAACGCCGGGCACATGCGGGCGGCGGAGGTGCTGGTCCGCGCGGGGGCGGATCCCCAGGACGGGCTCGGGCACGGGCACGGGCCCGGCGATCCGCCGCTGTACGCCGCCGTGGACAGCGGCCAGAATACCCTCCTCCGCCTCCTGCTGGATACGGGCCGCGTCCGGCTTGACTGGCCGGTCGACCGCCCGCCCGTAGTCCTGGCGGCCGTGCTCGGGAACGCCGTCGCGGTGGACTGGCTGCTGGCGGCCGGCGCGGATCCGAACAGCCAGGACATCCACCGGAAAACGGCGCTGTTCCACGCGGCGCTAGGGGGCGACGAAGCGGTCGTGGAGCGCCTCCTCGACGCGGAGGGGGTCGACGTGGACCTGCAAGATTGTCAGGGATGTACACCCTTGTATATGGCGGTCGTGGAGGGACACGTCTCCGTGGTGCGGCGACTGCTGGCCGCGGGGGCGGATCCGGAGATCTGCAACAAGCTAGGATCGAGCCCGGTGGATCTAGCACGGGCCAGATCAAAGCGGGAGATCAAGGCTCTCTTCCGGGTTACTTGATGGTCTAGCGCGGCGGGATTGGCAAACTGGACTCTGTTCACAGCAGTAATGATTTAGGCTTACTAGCTTGGAGCATTGTATACGAGACCTTGTGTAAGCCTTTAGGGAGGTCCGATAACACTTATTGATAAGAGTGTGGTACCGCTCATCCAAAAGTTTGTCGAGACCCTAATCTACCCGATTGTTTGTTTTGAAAGAATCTTAATTCCCGTTACATCCCGAGAGATGAGGTACTATAGACCGAAGATCTGGACTCTCTATATATATTGTAAGGGCTGAGCCAGCCCTTCCAACCTTCGCGGTATCCGCGAAGGGAAATCTATATATATCAGGCCTCAGGCATCGGTCACGTGATGACTAAGCGAGCAGACCGCGATCTCTTATCTGGGAGCGGCACCTCGCGAATTAGGAAGATTAGCAACAACACCTTAAGGCAATATATTGGCACCTTTGGACTCGCGAGAGTCATTCGTTCATCACGCTATTTCACCCTCTTAGTCCTTATATATATTATACCATATAACGATAGCACTCCTTCTATTAGTATAGTTCTTTTCTTTTTCTTCCTTTCTTTTTCTTCCTAGGTGAATACGCCCGGCTGCGGCGATGCTAAATCCATAGCTAGGTTGGTATAGCAATATTGAGCTTTTCTAGAGTTACAACAGATGTTGTCGGGGGGGGGGGGGTTTATAGAAGTATGTAAGCAAGGGATTACAATCGAATAACAGTTTAGCCCCGCTCAGCCACAAGCATGTGTATATATATATATATATATGTATACAAAGATACCAATCTAGCCGATTATTTACTTGAAAAGGATCCTGATTCCTGTCACTTAGACAAGGACGCTGTCATGCATAAGCAACAGGCGTAAATTACCACTTTGCCTTGAAAGGCTTAGTGCTGGCAGTAGCGGGAGCGAGAAGTCAACACCTCAGGCACCAAGTGACCTGTCAAAAGACACTTTGTGTCAGCTGTGGGTGGGGAAGCGGTACCGGTGCGCCGGACAAACCACCCACCCAATCCCAAGAACCAGATCTGATATCAACTCACAGAAGCAATAAACCCAGGAAAGGCGAAAATGCCCCTCCAGATGCTGCTGGAGATCCTCGAAATGATCGTGGCCCCGCTGGATCACCGCGCCGACATCAACGCGCTGGCGCGCACGAGCCGGGAGCTCCACCGCCAGCTCAATCCGTACCTGTACCGGCCGAGCGCCGACTACGTCCAGAGCTTCAATCTGCTGTGGGCGGCGCGGGTTGGGTAGCTCGGCACGGCGCGGCGGTGGATCGCCATCATGCGCGACACGCCGGGCATGCACCGGCCGGAGACGCGGTACATGCAGGCGGACGCGGCCGCGGCGCTGCACGAGGCGATCGCGCACGGGCAGGCGGAGCTGGTGCGGCTGCTGCTGACGGCGGTCGACGGGCCGGGGGTCGATGTCCACGTCCGCATCCAGTAGGCCGGGGACACCCCGCTTCTGGCAGCGGTGCGCGCGGGCCAGGCGGCGATCGTGCACCAGCTGCTGGGCTGGGAGGGCGTCGACGCGCAGGCGCGGGACGCGGTGGGCCACACCACGCTGTTCGTGGCGGTGATGGGCGCGCACAAGGCCGTTGTTGACTTCCTGCTTGCCGATGGCCCGGCGAATCCGAACGCGGCGGACGTCCTCGGCAAGACGCCTCTGCATGCGGCAGTGCAGCAGGGCGCTGCGGGCGTTGTGGACAGGCTCCTCGCGTCTGAGAGAGTGGATCCCGATCTGGCGGATGAGCTTGGCACGACCCCGTTGAATCGGGCGACGCAGGACAGCCGCTTCGAGATCGTGCAACAACTGCTCCGCACTGGACGGGTGGACGTGCGTTCGCGGTACAGCGCGGGGTGGACGCCGCTGGTGGCGGCGGTCGTCCACCACAACTATGCGTTGGTCCACCAACTGATCGAGCGTGGGGTCACGGTCCCTGCGCGGGATGATGCCGGAACCCCCATCCTTTCCCATCAGGGTCGGGAATGCCGCTGCGGTGGAAATGCTGCTGGCTGCAGGCGCCAGACCCATCGGCCGGGACTGCACGGGAAGAACGGTGCTGTCCCACGCGGCGCAATCGGGGGATGCCGCGACTGTGAAGCACTTACTGGATGCGGGCGCCGGGGTTGTGGTCAATGACCGGGATACGTGGGGGGACACAGCTTTGTTCTACGCAGCCGTCTATGGTTGTGCGCCAGTGGCTGAATCTCCACGTTTTCCAGTTCTTGTCATCCCCTCCGAGATACCAGACCCGACTCTGCCGGGAGCGGAATGGGACGGGCATGCTGAAGTGATCAGGCTTTTGGTTGCCGTCGAGAAAGTGGATCTCAATTGCAGGGATAAGGCAGGCGTTCCGCTGGTTCTCAGAGCGGCTGAGCGGGGACACGTTGAAATCGTTGATCTTCTGCGTGCCGCCGGAGCGGATCTGGATGTCTATGGCGTCGATGGTAGAAAGGCACTCAACCAAGTATTAGAGGGGTCGGATGGTCGGATGATCACTGAGGTGATTCAGAGACACCGTGGCCGCATAGGATGGCCGTAAGGCCCACGGCCTCTAGTTTTGTAATTGCTTGAAGTTGCCCCTGCACGTTTCCACCACCGTGACTGAAACAGTTCTCATGCTCGGATTGAGATACTCGGTATTTGAATGTAGAGCTGCGATACTTCAAAGAACTGACCCCGATGTGGTCTAAATATGGCTACTCTTGTTGGAATCTCGAGGTCAGCTCATCACAGGTTGGGATATTGTCCACAGTGCCTTTCTTCCTCGGCACAGCCCCAATTAGCTGCTGCCAGCAACCATCACTGCCACGATCTAAAAGTGTTCACGCGAAGGGGGTTAGAGCCGACTATTGTGACTGATCTACATCAGTCAGAGGGCAAGTTCAATGTTGCAGCGAACTAACCATACAAGTTGAGCGTCTGCGTTGATGTACTGTACCGGTAGAACTACTCTGCTCCGCGTCAACCTTGCCCTTGAAGCCTGAGGCAGCAGCTAGAGACCTTTCTGCCTCAGGCTGCGGCGTTCCAACCCTGGTCGAACAGAGAAAGCCGCCCGCTACCTGGCCATGCTTGGACTAGCAGCGGCCTGGCAACACTTTTACCTGCGATGCGGCGGTTGTTAAGCTCTTACTAGCCGCCGGGGCGAGACCGGGGGTCATCAACAATCCCTATCAGAGGCACACAGCGCTGTCGGAAGCGGTGTTCCACGGGCATCTTGGAGTTGTTCAGCTTCTTCTCGCGACGGGGAGGGTGAGTGTAGCGGACGGGGCGTATCAGAGCCGTGAGCTCGTCTAATCGAATAAGAGAACCAGCATCCTGAGGTATCTACTAGGTAACGATCTGACAAATCATGTTGAGTAGTGTTCCTGTTCCTCCCCGTTCGCTCTCTACATGGCTAGCATTTTCAGTCATCCGCATCAATAAACGCACCCAACCCCCTATCATCACTATCCAGCGATACTAAGAAATCTCCCGCACCCCAAACGACCCACACCCCGAATTCCCCACCGTGAACCCCCCAACCCCGTTCCCCAAATCCACCGACGCGGTATCCCGATTCGAGGGACTACACGTGGCATTGTTCGTACCCCCCGGCAGCAGAAGGTAGCACCCCGCCCCCTCCGCCGACAGATACCCGGCACACGGGGTGGAGTGGTCGATGCACGCGACGCAGCAGTCATACGGCGTCGACGCTGAATTAGTCTCGTAGTTCCCCGTGACCACCACCTCGGTGATGCTGCGTCCGTTGACGGTGCTGATCTGGTTGTCGGGGCCGCAGGCGGCGTATTGGGTTTGGGCGGGGGCTTGGACTGTTGCGGTGTTTGTTGTTGTCTGTTTATTTTAGTACGCAGGTATAGGTGTAGGATATAGCATGAGGGGGAGGGGTAGGGGGGTTTACCTCTGTGGAGGTGGTGGTGGTTACGACGGCGGTGGATTTGAGGAAGTTGGTGGTGAAGGTTAGGGTTGTGGAGGCGGGGATGGGGACGAGGGTTATTGCTTCTCTGTGTCAGTATTGTCTGCAGGAATTGAGGGGAAGAACTGGGGAAGTTACTTGTGGTGATGTGGGCGGTTGATGTAGTTGTTTTAGCAGACGGGGTGACGACTACAGTGTGTGTCTGGGTGGCGGGTTTGTTTACTGTGCTGGTGGAGAGGATCTCAACCAGGCCGACGCAGGTCACGACGCTGGCGTAGCTGGGTTCTGCCTCTACGATCGCAGTGGATTGGGCGGCGTGGATGGTGATCGCCTGGGGGGTGGATGCGTCGTTGGCTTTGACGAGGGCGGTTTGTTTGACGCCTTGGATGGTGGCGGAGGATTGGCTTAGGGCAGAGGCAGGGGTGAATCCGGCCGGGGCGGGCACGGTGCTTGTGGGTGTTGAGGTAATCTATTGATTGTTAAGCTTAGAAAGATTTGAACAACTTCAAGGAGGGGAAGAGGGGCGTTACTGTAGTATCACTGGTGACTGCCTCAGTGTCCGTGACGATGCCCTGGACCGTCAAGGTTATAGTGGACGTGATGGTGGTGGAGAATGTGCTTGTGCTCTGATCAAGGATTGTGGTTGCGGAGACAGTATCGGTCACCACCGAGGTGATGGTCTTCGCGGCGGCGGTTGAAGTAACCGTGGGAGTTGAGGTGGTCGTGAGGACGGCAACACTGGAGGCAGAGTTAGCTCAAGCTCAAACTGCAAAATCGTCCAAGCAAGCACCAGGTGGGTATACCTACCTCGTGGCAGTAGAAAGACTGTTGACTGTCCTGACCGTGCTGCAAGACGTGGACGCGTATTCGGTATTGCAGAGCTCGAACGAGGTTGTAGTGGTGGCTTTAGCTAGGGCTGTCGAAGCCGCCGCCAGCAGCGCAATCCAGTACATCATAGCTGCCATTGTGACACCTCAACGGAAGTATAACCGCAGACCCTTGACAAACCTGACCCAAGATTTCGACACTCGCCGGGAAAGCTGGCTGTGAGAACAAAGAAACTTCCTTCCCACATAGCAGGGGGCAACTCCTTGTTATACGGGCTGCATTGTCAGTTCATGGGTTCGTTACTGCTTAACCTTAAAGAATGCATCTCAAGTGGGCCAAAGATCCAGGCAGGAGTCTTCCACCAATGAATTCAGGAAGGGTGCACTAGTGGCCGTTGAAAGAATGTCAAGTAAGTAGGGTGAAAGGATCTACAAGGTTCGTCGGCAGCCCACGCGAAGCGTAACCCTAACCCCTTGCTTGCCCCTGCAAATTGTACCGATAAATGGAAATAGGAATCCGATTCACACAATCAATTGTATTGGATTTTTACAATGTATGGCTGGCTCTACAGCACTAGCCAACTCAAACTAACTAAGCAAGCTTCCGCTTCTTCCGCTGCTGCCCGTCACCCTGCTGCTCATCCCCCTCTTCCCCGTCATCATCCACCTTGGGCCACTCATATCTGTGACCTTCGTACTGGGAACCCTTTGCTGTGGCTTAGATGACGAGAGTAAACCAACTAGGAGGTTCCCCGTTGGTATACCGTATTTGGACTTCGAGACAGAAGAATGTCGGAGTTTTCTCTCATCATTGTTGTTCGCCAAAAGAGTACTGCTAGCAGACATCTTCCTGCAGGATAGGCTCCAGGTGGTATCTGCTTTAAGAACAGAGTGCTTTGTTTGCGCTATCATACGCTAGTTCTGCTCGATACTGCTTGTTTCCAATCATGGCACAGGGAACCTAAACAACCTGACGGTAAACTGTAGCATCTGAACGCTTCAGTAAGCTCAAAGCACAGACTGTTACAACAAGTATAACAGCTACGTGAACAGCATATCATCAGTTGCCACTACATACATTGCATGCTATACCCACTTCAGTGCAATTGTAGGTGTCGTCAACACAGCTTGCCTTTCCCCGTACCCTCGTTCTATGGACGCATCGACTACTCACTCAGCATAAGTCTGATATACTTCTACACTCATCAGCTCTACGCAGCCGAATTCGAAATTGTACCATACCCAACCTGCTTCTTCCCTCACATCCTTCGAGAAAACAGCCACTGCTTACCATCTTCCATCGTCGACCAATCAGATGCTTCGAATAATGCAACACAGTGCAAGCTACAAAGCACTGTCAATCAAAATCACATCCCTGATCCTCATATCCTAAACTGCATCCATATTCGTACTGTACATACCGCGATGCTACGATCGGAGATCCCACTCCCGCCAGCCGAGGATTTCCGGCCCCTCGCCCTCCCCCAAGAATGAGGGGGGCAGCATTCCACGCATGGTGCCCCTTACTTATCCGCAACAACCCCCTGTCCAGAGAAACCCACAAATATATAGATGTCGTGTCTATAACCTCGCACTTTTCCCACACTATGTACAAAATCTCATACTCATATTACATTCTCCGGGTGCCATGGCTCTGTATCTCATCAAAGATCCCGATCACACAGAGAGAATAAAAACATTATAATCCACCACATTCGCTCGCTCTCATCTATGCCCGTCATCAGAGGCATCAACAACGGCAAATACGATATCGTGCCAATCACCCACCCTACCGCGCATTCAACCCATCCAGCTCATGCACCTCCGTCGTGCGGGGCTGCGTGCTATCCAGCTCGGGGATGGGCTGCACTTTGGTCGGGGCCGACAGGCCCAGCCCGTGGGTCGGGCGGAGATGGTCCTCGCCGCGGGAGTAGATCTCGGAGACGGGGCGGCCGTCGGGGCCGATGTGCGAGGCCGGCGGGGACATGGTGAAGCCGCCCGTCGAGCCGGAGGGGTATTTGCTGGCTGGGTCGGGGCTGCTCATGTGCGAATCTATTTATTTTTCAGTATGCTGCGCGGGGGGAAGACCGGGATGGCTGGGACGAACCTTGATACGGTGATGATTGGGGACTGTGATACCCGTACTCCCCGGGGTACATGTGTTGGCGCTCCGCTTCGGCGGCGGTGGCTTCCCGTCGACGGCGGCGGAGGAGGAAGAAAATGGCGAGCACGATGAAGGCGACAAGCGCAGCAGCCCCGATGGCGATTCCGGCGATCGCGCCGCCCGACAGGCTTGAGTGATGGCTTGATGAGTCTTCCGGGGAGGAGGTTTGTGTGGAGGTCGAGGTCGGGGAGGCGGTTGCCGTCGCGCTGGCGTTGTCCTGGAAGAGCTTGAGTTGGCCGGCGGAGGAGGAGCTCCAGGCCGCGGGCAGGAGGTCGTCGTCCGGGCACCCGTCGCTGCAGGGGTTGCTACTGCAGCACCCCAGGAATCTCGGGGAGGTGCCGTTGCATGTGTACCAGTCGGAGCTGGGGTTGTCGAGGCAGCGGTTGGGGAGGATCTCGTCGAAGATGGCGCCGTTGAACGAGGCGGCGTACAGGCTGGGGCAGGCCGGGCTGGTGGTGTTGTGGCAGGGGTCCGAGGCACAGCAACCCACAAAGTACGGCGCCGTGTCGCAGACGAACCACGAGCCGCCGTTGGGGCAGGTGAAGTTGCAGTCCGGCGAGGAACCGCTTTTGCAGGTGGTCATGGTTGTGAGTGTGATCGGTGCTGAGTGCTGTGTGCTGTGTGCTGTGTTGATGCAGAAGTGTGAAGAACAGTCGGGTGCAGCAGGGGTGGTGTGTTAGGGGTGTTTGTTTCGATCGCAAAAAATGTCAACAAGGGTTTTGCGACAGCCCGCGTGGGAAAAGGGTAATTTCCTCCAGAAAAGAAAGAGCTGTCAGCCCCACTGTCCGCGAAAACGCTGCTGCCGACTTTATTTAACACGGATGACGATCACGAGCCCAGTGACCCCTAAAATCGTGGCCCGCATGGCATAGCCTTCGTGCCCGGCGGTGATTGGCAGGATGGGTCCGGGATTCGGTGTGCCCAGACTTCCACTTGCTTCGTAAGGTTGTCAGCCTCGTCCTCGTCCTCGTCCTCGACCCGTTGGGTTGAGTTTAAATTGCCAAATGCCAAGTGGAGGATGGGCCATCAGCCACTATTTTAGCCTGGGGGCCGCTCCGCCTGCTTTTTGTTGATGGGTGGGACGTGCCAAGGTCGTGGCTCATGCGGCTAGAAATAGGATACATGGGCGTGGTGAGGCTCAACTCGTTTCATGATTCGAGATCAAACCGTTGCCTACCAGGGCGAGTGTGGTTCTTCAGGTCTGAAGATGCTGGGTTTGAAGTGCCCCCCTTGCACTGCACCAGGACTGCGTCAGAATACGAAGCAGGGCAGGTGTATATGGGTCAAACTCTCTAGTGTGGGAAAGGATGCTTACTTTTCCTAAGCGGGGTTAAGGTCCACGATAGCTTCTTCCTTCGCTCCCGCTCCTTTATCACCAGGATTCAAAAGCAGGGACACAGCCCCGGAGTCCGAGGATGGAGATAAAGTGGGTGAGACCCTGAGTTCTAGCTGACGGAGTGACAAAACTTCTTTCTCTTTTCTCTTTCTCTTTTCCCTTGAACATGTTCGAAAAATCGTGTAGAATCAGTCAATCCTGCACACTGGAACATTCACAGAGTCAGGTAGGGCTAACCTCCGCGGGCTTGGGGCGTGTCGGGTGTCCTCACTGACCCTGAGTTTCTCAGCGGTGAGCCGGGCGGTCGGTGGAGACGAAGAATGCAGGGTAACTTACCCCGACGGATGAGGTTGTTCCGACCCGGGCCCGCTGTTACTGTCTTATTCCCTCAGCCCTCAGCCCTCAGCCAGCAGTCTAAACAAACAACCCTGTCTATACTCGCTCCGGCTCGTCGGATGTGTGTGTAGACAGCTTCGAACTAAAGCAACATATGCAACTTCTGTTTCGCTCTTTTTGTTATTCCACTTCGAAAATTCAGATTCTTGCAGATAGGTTGAAACCTTGAGTGTGTGCGGATTGCCCGACAGCCCCAACTCATCCGGTCTTCGGGCTTCGGCGGAGCCGAATGGACTGGGTTGGACCCGCCAGGGAATCCACCTTAATCGTTCTGCTATAGCTTAATACGAGACCACCAATCAGGTAGTATTGGACTTGCTTGTTGAGGTCAAAGTTTCATCTAGGTTAGTTTCGACTCATGGGTCTAGATCACGTGAGTGGATCGAGAGGCAAGCAAGAAAAAAAGGAAAAACAAAAATTTGGTGGACCCATTAAGCATACAGCACAAGGGTTGCAAAGGAACACTTCAAATTGCGATGAATTGGCAAGGTGTCTAACCAACAACATTGGAGCTCAGAACATTGTCAGGACAAGATATCGATTATGAAGAGTTAGATTTGTCTCCATTCACAACTATATATTTGTATGCACAGTACACCTCATCGAAGATGATAGTAAGGAGACCAAAATGACCTGATGTGGTTCAATCAGCCAAGCCTAACATACTTTCATCTCTCGGGTACCTGAACTCTTATATAGTTATATGTAGCCCCGCTGTAAGTGAGCGATAGGCATACAAGATACTTTACACTTGTACCCTTGCTGATTGGCTTGTGTTGAATACCGGGGTGGCTGCCAAGGACGGCACTCTTTTGGCCACCTGCATCAACAAGATCTTGCTGGTGAAGACTGAAATCATCGATTCGATTGTCAACGCCATCTGCATAGGAGGACATCGGACGACCATATCTGACCGAGCAGCGTTTATCGCGAATCGTTCATGGAGGTTCCGGCGCTGCCCTGGTAGATAGTAGAACGGTTAGAGATTCTCAACCCCATTCCAAGCTCACCGGAAGGAAGAGCCATTCCACTCATCCTAACATGTGATTGTGGGGTGCCAGATGAGTGGGGGGCGGGGGACACATTCCTGGTCCACCAGCCAGCGCCAGCTCGGTTCCTGCCAGTATTTAACCAGACCTAGGCCGCCAGAAGCTGTCAGGGAATCAGGAGTGAAGGACTAGGACTGAACGCGCGACCATGGCGAGTCGGTGGCCGGAATGGGTGAAGTAGATTTTGTTCTCCGTCTTGGTGAGATGACCCATGTTCTGGAAAAATGCATATCTCACGCATAGGAGGGGAAGCGGCATGACGAGCTTGAGCGCGATGCGGTCAGAAGGATTATTGAGTATCTGCAGGTCGCGTTTGTAGACCTTCTTTATAATACCTTGTGGTGAGATCATCACTCAACTACTTGACGCAAAGCAAGGTGATCGTGCTACTTCGGGCGGGAAATCGCATATGACGCATCGGATCATGAGCCAAGGCTCATGGATCGGTCCATCCTGTACCGTCTCTGGAGTGAGAGATTCCAGACATTGAGACCAGGAGTTCCTTCGCATAAGCCGAGGCCACCGCTGCCGCGTACCCCTGCCAGCGGTCATTCTTATGCGAATCAGCATAGTCGCTAACCCCCCGGATGACTAGGCACGGGAAACTATCCACCAAGCCCGCCGCTTCCATCTCGAAGCAGAGGATGCCCAGTTCCGCCTGCATCCGGTCGCGGGTCGGCCCATGCTTCATGACCTGGTTGCCCGAGGCGATCAGCCCGTAATGGACCATGGGTGCCGTGGTGGCGCGCGGGGCTCGGGACACGATGCGTGCTGGGTCACACGTTGAGCATGATCCGGCGGGACTGCGGTGGCCATAGTCCGATTGGTAGAGGTGATCATGCCCGGCGCCAGGGTACGCGAACTCGGCCTGCAGAAGCGGGTAGCGATGGACCATTGCATCGAGGTACCGGGTCAAGCCAGGGCCGTAGAGGAGATGTTTGGATTTGAGGCTGTTGACCGCAGTCAGAAGAGCATCCGGCGGTCGATTCAGCGCCGAGACAATGTGAATCCGGCCCGCCTCGGTGCGCTTGCCAAAGTCGTACTGAATTACGCCTGACTGCCCATGGTGCGGGGTCCCGACGATCACGTCCCCCAGTCGAATATCATGCGTGACGCTGGGTGCCGCGCCTCCGATGCCCACCATGAGTCCGATGCGAATGTGGGGAAACGTTTGGCACATCCGCTGAGCGATGATGGCGGCGGCCGTCGTGCCCATGATTCCATCCGGCAGACACGTGAGGACGACATTGTGCGTGCCGATGCATCCGAGGGTATAGGTGTTGTTGTCGAAGCGGTAGTCGTGCGGAAGGCCATGTTCTTCATCCAGCATTGCTTGCGCGGTCGCCATCTCTTTGTCGAGCGCAGAGATCCACCCCACCGTGTAATCGCCACATGCGAACCTTTTTGGGGATTGAGTTCGTGGGATGGGAACAGATCTGCTCCGCTGGACGGGTTCGGGTGATGAATAATGGGAAACGCGGGTATCAAACTGGTTGAGTTGTGGAGGCATCGATCCGGGGATCGAAAGCTCTCGCGCTGGGGCTGAGGATCGTGATCCAGCGGTGACAACCGCTGGCTGCAACAGGTCTACCTCAAATTCATTCGAGTCGGGGAGCCTGATTGTTTCCAAGCTGTTAAGATCCATCTTCGGCGCGATGTCATCCAAGTGATCAAGAGACATATCACTGAACCCTTGCCTAAGCTCGGCCTCGAGACGCTGCACAATCTCCATATAGATAAGCCCTTTGAAGTCGTGATCTTCCAATTCGTTGTCCTTGTCGTCGATTCCGAACTGGACATCTAGACAGCGGGCCACCGCGATGCGGTAATTATCAGAGAAACTAGGGCTACACTTTCTAAAAGCCTCTCGCGCGATATGAAAACGAGAATTTTCGTCCAGCAGCTCCAATGATTCCCAGCCGGCGCCATAGGAGCGGACCAAAGAACGTATCGAGGTTGCCTGGTATATCTCAATGAGCAGGATCGCCAACATGACGAGGCCGGGACGTGGATGCAATGGGAGGTCATCAGGGTCGCGACACTCCTCATCGTCCGACTGATCATCACCATGAAAACGTGCCCAGACCCTGGAATGGATGAAGGGCTGCAAAGGCACGGAGGCGGAGGTGCCAAGGAAGATGATATTGGACGAATTGAATGAACCCGGTCGCAGCCAAGGGGTTCCATACAGATGCAGGACGCAATGCCCCAGCAGGACCGCTAACACCCGTTTGATTCTATCTCCCAAGCTCTTCGGGTGGGCTTCCAGAATTCGCTCGAGACGGACTGGGATAGTCTTCAGCTGCATCTGGCTGTCTGCGGATTTGAACTTCCGGAGTTTCCCATTCTCCACTTCCATGTTGAGACAGCGGCGGAAGTGCTGGGGGCTAACATGGTCGCATAGCTTGTTGATTAGAATGGAGGTCTCCCCCCGCCTCTTCCTCGGTGTGCTTTCCTTGACCGCAATGCGTACCTTTGAGGTCTTTTCCGGTATCGCGGCTTGAATCACTACCTCTTGCCAGTACGATTCATTCGGGCTAAGCATGAGGCTAAACACACATTTCTGCTCCAACGGCCGCCGGCTGCGGTAAGTCGCCAGCCGCAGTCGCGCGGTATAGGTGTGGCACGGCAGGCAGTGACACGCCTGGGCACTGGCTAGGAGCGCATCGAAGACCAGGTTCGCTTCCACGTGCACGGAAGTGGGTATTGAGACATTGACCCTTGCGATGGGAGGCCGTGACTCCCCGACGGCATCGGGCCCGGGCGCATCAAGCGCATCCGCGCATTCTTCCAGGAAGAAGGCTACCTCATCCCACAACTGTTTGGTCTCCCAGGCGAAGTTTGTTCTGCTGTATGCGATCTTCTCCGACCAGGACGTCAAACGGCCCCATCCTGCCTGTACATCCGCCAGCCTCTGTAGTGCTTCGGCCGGGGATTGTAGACTATTCTTGACCGGTGGACGAAGCAAAGAGGTGAATCGCTTGAGGAGTAGCCAGGCCAGCGGGGCCAAGGCGATTGACTTGGACGGAAAGTGTGAAGTCTCGACCTGCTCGTTCAGGAGGAGAATTTGAACATGAAGGTAGCGGTAGCTCTGTCGGAGATTTCGATCTTGTTCGCAACTCGTCAGACAATCGGCGATCTCCCGGAAAAGGACGAAAGTTTCCAGGAGGGAAGACACTCTCGACCGCGCTTGCTGTGGCTTGTCCATGAGTACTGCACATTTCACACAGGTGTGGAGGATGGAGAGATCTCACCAAGGCAGCGAAATCGGTCTCGCCGTAAGTCGATACGAGTTCCATTTTGCATGCTCTCTGAATGATATGCCTGGCTTGAAAGGTGCACTGGTGAGAGCACCATTTAACTGATTGGGCTCACTTGTGAGCGATAATGCAAGCCATAGCATCTACTTGTGGTGAAAAGGTCTAGCATATATCACAGTGATGGGCACATCAGATATGGTAGTGAGTGTGAATGGGTAAGAGATGTGGATGGAAGATCGGAGAATGGAAGATGTGAATTGGCCGGGCGCTAAAGAGAGGGGTAGAACCGGGCCATTGCCTTGCGGCCTTGCAGCCTTGCAGAAGTCATCCCCGCATATCCTGAAGGTAATAATGGGAGGTGCAACTGCATCCTACCTTTCCTTCCTCTGCAATTCCAGAGTGACTTCCTTCGGTCGATATCATGGAGAACGAGCAGTCATATGTATCGATCACCACAGCAGCAAGGATATTTCTAGACTCAATACAGCAATGCATTCAGCAGCCAGTCAACCTGGGGCCCCGGGAGATCATGCTTCTTCAGGATCAGCTCGGACGGTTTTCAATATGGGCTTCAGAAACAGGAGTCTTCGCCCCGCGCAGAGCCTCTTTGGACCATCGCCTTCGTTATGTACCCGAGATTCAACGTTTGGTGCGGGGGCTACTGGAGACATTGGACGATCATCTGCACCACTGTGAGTAGGCAGACTGCTTTTCAATCCGTCTTGCGCTCTTCATCCTTTAACGACGGTCTGCGCTGCCAGATTTAACGCAACAGAATGAGGAACGGGATCTATCAGCCATAGCAAAGGATCTGACACTGCTGCATCGACTGTCGAACACAATTCGGAGAGCCAGCCGCGAAAGCCAAAACTTGCGGGCCGCAGAGCACTTTCGGATTGAGGACGAGGAGGGTGTCGATGTCGGGGCGGCGTGGCGGGATACCTTTGCCGCCGAGGTCATTCGAAGGAAGTGGCCGGCCTGTGATGATTGGCTCAGGGAGAGACTGGCATCAGCAATGCTGCTGCGTAGGAAGCGTGTGCTATATCGACGATTTCGTCATGACAAGGCGAGAATGGACCAGTCGGTGCCCGGGCGAGACGCCGAGGATCAAGGTCAGAAGCCGGAGGCGGACCACGAGCATGTTAAAAAACGAGAAACAACATCCGCTCGCAGTGCTTCGGGATCGAGGGCCACCACCTCAGCGACTACGCTGAATCCCGAGCAGTTTAGAAAGGCATCTGCCCCCTCGGTCCTGGGGACCACAAGGACCACCCGCATGAACACCCAAGAAGAGTCTCTATATCCTCCCGCGCCAAAAGGTGAGATCATCAAGCGGCTTGAGACTCTAGAGAAAGAGCGGAGCACATCCATCGAAGATAGCGGTCAGCACTCGAGTGGCCAGGATGCGGAGCTTAGCCGACGAGAGAAGATCATTGCAGATAGGCACGCGATCTTGAGGAACTCGGAGGTCGTCTGTCCTTATTGCTGTTGCACCCTCTCGGGGGCGGATGTGATGGACGATCGTAAATGGAGGTGAGTAGTGGTGGCTGCATTGAAAACAGGACAACAAGATTAATTCTTTTCGGCCAATCAGGAATCATCTCAAACACGATCTAGACGCATATGTCTGCCTGTTCGAAGAATGCGCCACGGAAACGATATTGTATAGTCACAGTGAGGAATGGCTCAACCACCTGCGCGAGCACAAGGTTCGATGGCGCTGCACAGCCAAGGCTCATGGGATCCTGATCTTCGAGGACCAAGCCGACTATTTGGACCATATCCGGAACAAGCACAAGGGATCGGAGTCTCAGCTTCGCCACCTGACCGAACGTGGCAGCCAGCCGTCTGGACCGCTCTTTGTAATCTGCCCACTATGCAACGCTGAGGCCGCTAAGTTGAATATTCCTGTTGAAGACCATATTGCAAGTCATCTCCGGTATCTAGCTCTTCAGTCGCTGCCGTTCGTGGAATATAACGCTCAAGCTTCTGGGGAGGACGGATCACTGCCATCAAGCGACGGCGAAAGAGGAAGCCGCAGCACACTCGATGATGATTTCGATGGTGACCTTTCGTTCGACTTGGCCGATGAGCTCCATAACCCATTCGATTCGCATCAGGATGAAGTGCCTTCTTTTGCTGCTGATTCTCGACCTAAGCGAGATGTCCCACTGTTTGCGGAGTTACAAAAATTATTTGAGACAATGGAGAAAAATCAATTATCCGCTTCGAAAAACTCTTTGATCGAAAGTAAAGCTGAGCAAGTCGGCATCGACAGAACAATCGATGCATCTAATGACCCAGCTCAGTCATATCCATCATCGCCTCCTGCAAGTCTAGATATGACGTCCAGCGATTCCGCCAAGGGTGAGTTAATTGCTAGCTTGGAAAAGTTGATTATGGAAGAAAGGGCTGGAAGACCCGGGCGAGAGGAAACTGCTTCAAGGCTTCTACGAGCGACAGCCAAAGAAAACACGACTTCAGAAACCGGGAAATCCAGCGCCGCCGGCTTGCTGGAAGCCGCGCGAAAGGAGGCTTCAGACAGCCCAGACCGCAAAAGGTCGACTGTCGAATTCAGGGATGCAGTAGGAAGGAGACTCTCGTTTCCATTTGACGCATGTCGCACGTGGGAGGTAGGAGAATCCAATCCCATCTGTATGTTCTTCGCTGATCGAAATCCGGTTCAGGGCATGGAAAGTCTCATAAGACAGTCCTTTTCATACATGGAGGGGCTAGAGTCTCACGTTGCGGCAGGGCATTATGATCTGGTCGGTCCCAATGGAGATATCATTCTACCTCAAATCTGGGAATCTTCAATTCAACCAGGTTGGGTTATCACCATGCATATGTGGCCACTTTCAGGAAGGCCAGTCACGCCTTCGTCACCAGGTGAACCCTCGGTTCCGCCTGCCAATGCGGCGGTCTCAGCAGAGCCCACGGGATCAGAAACCGCAGGTAAGTCTTATCTCTGACTGCCAGGGGTCTTTCGGGCATCGGATATAATGTTTCATCCACCAATTAACGATGATCAGTCCCCAGAAAGTCTCAGCCAAAGGCGCACAATCCTGGTGCCTTCGCGATGTGGATGATGGGGGATAATAGGTTGTCAAATCAGGCTCTCGAAAAAGAGGAGGAATGATCAACCCCATCGTACGTCTCGCGATCCACGAAAAGCACTTCTCTTGTTCTTGACTCTCAAAGATTTAGCCAGGGAGTGTGGTGAAGATATAATGTGTATATCGCCCCGAAGGTAGGTGGCAATAAACAGATGGCGAGAGGGCTCTGCCATGGTGTGCTAGCAACTATGAAATTGTACTGTAGAATACATATTCATATTTTCGATGGCGGATGCTCAGTAAGATTCTTTCTGTGGTATATTTGTTCTCAACTAATGAGAGTCCAACACTTGAATATTCATGAATATAGAATCACACCAGGGCAACACCACTCGGCAAGCCAAAGACCTGAGTATCCGCCTCCACCAAACAAGCACCCACCAGCGCGTCTCCCTCGGTGAGACACTCCCCAGTCTTCGCATTCCTCAGATTCCCAGAAACCGCATACTCCCACTTCTGGTCCGCCCCTCCCTCGCAAGCCTGCACGCTCACCTCTCCCGCCGCCGCCGTCAAGCACAGCGCCGCACTCGACAGCGGCCGCAGCGCGCCCTGCGCCGTGACCTGCCAGACCTGCGCATCCAGCGCCTCGCACGTCTCAAACCCAACCCCCTTCCCCTCCCTCTCTCCCTCCACAGCCGTCAAACACCGCCCAGACGCGGTATTAAACACGATGCCCGTGGGGACCACCTTACAGCCATCCGGGACCCTAACCCTCCAGACCCCCGTCGCATGCTTCTCCAACCCCTCCACCACCAAACTGCCCTCCACCCTGACCACACGCCCATCCCAAAGATCCTCCGCCTCATACTCGCAACCCATCTGCAACCCCAACCTCTCCACCGCAACCTCCAAATCCACCGTCTCATTCCCCCGATTCAGCACCCCAACGACCCTCCCGCCATCGCCCAACGACCTAGTCAACACATCCACCCCCTCCGCCACCCCCCTCACCGCAAGCGTCGCCTGCAGCCCCAACGCATCCTGATCGACAGCAATCAACCGCTCATTCCGCAACACCTGCATCACCTCCTCCCCCAACCCGGGGATATAGGCACTAATAATCAACGGCGCGCCCATGACCGCCCACAACGCAAAGTGACTCTTCTTCTCAGCCAAGGTCAGCCCGGGATGATCGGGGATCAAGAAATCCGGATCATTGAAGTACCCCGGCCGTTGGTAGCGGGCCAGCAGCACGTTGTAATCGTAGTTGTTGACGATACTGTCCCACGCGCTGCCGGCGCCGGCATACACCAGGATATCGGTGGAGTGGCGGGCCAGCTCGCCGTACCGCGGGACCCAGGCCATGACCTTGTACCAGTCCGTGTTATCCGCGGTGCCCGCGAAGTAGGCGGGGGCGCTTTCGGAGAAGATTAGGGGTTTGCGGGCATGGGCGGAGGCGGCAGCTTGGGTGCTGAGGATGGTGTGCCAGTTGGCGTAGCGGTGGCGGTATTCCTCCTGCAGGGTGCGGTTCGCCGCCGGGAACACGTTGCATCCGTCTAGCTTGAGGTAGTCGATGCCCCATTCGGCGAAGGTGGCTGCGTCCAGGGCTTCGTGGCCGTAGGAGCCCGGGTACCCACCGCAGGTCGCGTTGCCGGCGTCTTGGTAGATGCCCAGCGTGAAGTTGAGCGACCCCAGGTGCGCGGCGAGCCACGGGATCCCCCGCGGGAATTTGGTCGTGTTCCAGCTGAGCGAGCCGTTGGGGAGCCGGGCTGTTTCCATCCAGCAGTCGTCGAGGTTGAGGCGCGTGTAGCCGGCGGCTTGCAGGCCGGTGGTCTGCATGGCGGTGGCGGTGGTGACGAAGAGGGTTTCGTTGAGGTCGCACATGAAGCGCGACCAGTTGTTGAAGCCCATCGGGGGCGTGGGCAGGGTGGTGGGGTTGGTGATTGTGCCGGTTGATGGGGGGGTGAGGAGGAGGAGGAGGAGGGTGAGGAGGAGGGGAGCGGGGGTTAGGGTTACTTGGGCTGGGGGACGCATTTTGGTGGGTGTGGTGGGTGCAGCGATGGCTTGCGAGTGAATTGGGTGTGTGGGTGGTGGGTGCATCCGGTTATATGCTAAAGACCTGGTCGGGAGACGCTTCCCCGCTCGCCTGCGAGCTGCAGCAGCGCGAATACCACCGTGCCATGTCGGCTGCAGCTTGCACCAAGCTAAGCTATCGCGGTTTTGCTTATCAGGTCGGCAGGGCAGCCCGGCTGGTCGCTGACTGGGGAACAAGGTTCGGCACGGGTCGATTAATCTATCCTGCGGGGGTGAATCTTATCGCAGCCAAGGGTCGCATACACACCACAACCCTGATTCGCGCTCATGCAAGGACCCTTGACAGCATTCATGCTAGCGAGGTCTATTTATAGCCCCGGCCCTGGTGAAGTGGTGAGTGGTAAGTTAACTGCAGCATGCGTCAGAACGCTGAGTAAGGAGGGTTTCACTGCAGCTGGAATTGCGGGGTCGATTGGTTTGATGCAAGGGTGTCTTCCTACCCCTTTCCCCCAGCCTGCTAGACACCACCCCTATTCTGCAACACGCACAAATCCACTCCACGTAATACATTAAACATTATCATTTCTGGCAGCCATTAAGCTATCTAGCTACCGCCCGCAACCGCGACCCCCCCTCCGTCGTCTCCAACAGCACCTCCAAACTCCGCGATGCCGCCACCATCGCGCTCAGATCCGGACTGCGGCGCATCTGATGCGGCGCCTCCAGGCTCACGTCCGAGAACAGCAGCGCCAGCGGTGACGACTTCCAGATGTACTGGTTGCGGGTGCGCACCACCGTCGCCACCAGGAACCCCAGTGTCATGGCCACCAACACAATCGGCAGCGTCAGCCAGGGCCACTGCACGTGCACAAACGAGTCGACCGTCCAGGTCGTGCCGTTCACCGCCGCGGCGCAGACCTCGGTGCGCGCGTGCGTTGTCAACGCCGTCGCGAGCGAGGTGAATACCCCCGAGACGTCCGTGTAGTTGCCCTGCACCCCGTACAGGGCCTGGATGGTGTCGGAAGTCCAGCTGGGGCGGTTGCTGATGAAGAGGGAGCCGCTCCCTGTCAGGAGTGAAGTGATGGAGTTGGCGAGGGCGAGGCGGCTGAGCCAGCTGACACTGTAAGTGCAGTGGGCGGTCTGGTTGGAGGTGCAGTGGTCCGGGAAGAGGGTGAGGTCGGTCGTTATGTCCGATGCGGCGGTGGAGGAGTTGGAGGTGGTGGCGGTCGAGACCAGGGTTTCGTTAAAGACGCCCTCCTGCACCGAGGCGGAGTAGGTCTTGACGCAGAAGTAGAGGGCGCATTCGGTGGCGCTGATGGTGGGCGGCACGCCGTAGCCTGCGGCGCTGATGGCAGTGAAGTTGAGGATCAGCGGAGGAAGGGCGGAGGCGTCGAGCTTCACCAGGTCTAAGCCGGTCGTCGCGTTCATCAGGTAGATTCCGCCCCAGGAGGTGGAAAAACTGAACCCGTTGGTCAGGTTGTAGTGGTAAGTGCTCATTGTGCTGGTCGGGTTGGCGGTCGTTAGGGTTAGCTCGTCGGTGATGTTGGCGCATCGTTGGCACAGCCCGAGGGACTGGTACGGGGCAAAGGTGCAGTTGCCCGTCGGGCAGGTCATGGTCAGGGCTTGGCTGTTTGTTCCGGTGCTCTGGAAGAGCCCTGTGTAGATAGCCCCCGCCGTGGAGAGCGGCACTTTGTTCATGCCAGGTCCTGCCCCTTCGCCGTAGTCCACGTACGAGCTCGTGTTGCACACGCGAATCGAGGATTGGCCCGGCGAGTGGATGGGCTGCGAGGTGATGCTGAGGACCTGCTGCACGAAGGGGGCAATCGCTGCCGCTACTACAAGGATGAAGCATCCTACCGTCACCAGATGGCTGTGCATAGGTTAGCTTGATTCTTTCTGGTATTCTGTCGGAGCTCACCGTGGGAGGAAGCGAAACAAGACGAAGACCGCATTGACGGCACCGCGACTAGCAGCGTCCAGCACTGCCAAGTCATTGAGCTTGTTCTGTCGGTTGAACCAGGACCATTTAAGCTGCGACAACCCTTCGGTGATGGGGTAGACCATGGCCGCCTTCATGACCGTCACGAGTAGTGACACCAAGGCGTTGAGGGTGATGCCGTACGGCCAATCCGGCATGGGTTTGCCGTCGTACGTGTGCAGGACGACGATGATGGCTACTAGGGCGCCCACCGCGATGACACAGCTCACGATCTCAAAGACCCAGCCCGCTCCCCATGGGCCAACCGCCCGGGGCTGCAACAGCATGGTTGACAAAGGCCGTTTCCGCGTGGGGTTCGCCTCCCCCGGTTCGTCCACTTTGTGGTACCCCAGCTCATACTCCTCCTTGAGATGTCTCATCCTGGCTTGGCTGTTGACTGGGAGCTGGGGAAATGAGAGGTCTGACACCACGTTCGAGTTGACCCAGACATGGCGATGGGGGAAGGGGACTGGGGAGGGAAATGGAGTCTTCGTTTGACTGCTCGTGCCTCTTGGCGCACAAAACCCGCTGTGGCGGCGCGGCAACTCTGTTCCATGGAAAAGCCTCCAGCTTGGGTCCAGTTTGAGGTCATTATGAACCAGTTTGAAACATCCTTAACACTTGTTTGGGGTTAGAGGCGAAGACTGGAGCTGAAACAGGAAGTTGATTGGCGAGATTTGCGCGAAGCCAAGTGCAGAATTTCTGCTTCGGGAAATTCTCCTGAAAGTCGGCTTCGGTGAGCTTGCTCATGATTGGTTATGTTTGAAAAAAGGTAAGCACGTGATTTTGGCCTATCCCGAAAAAGGACGATCTGCCCGAGGAGGCGTCCCAAGAAGGAAACTACCATGCTGCAAGTACAGTACACTTTGATAGAGTGACTTGGAGGTGTCATTCCCAGTTGAACCTCCCAAGCAAGGTCCAAGCATCAAGGCTACCAGACATGAGCTCCTCCCAGTCAAGTATCGAAAAATCGATAATTTGCTGTAAGCTGCGTACACAAACAAATTCAACGCCAGCGAAAACTCCAAAGCAGGCACAGTGCGAGTGCGGAGTGCATCGAGTTGCCATTCATAAGTGATGGTAGTATGTCTGCAAAAGAATCTGCCTTTGATCACGCGCCAACACAATGAGCAAGTAAACAATGGAGGCTGAAAAGGAAAGGCTCGAGGTAGATTTGTTGTTGTCGAGTTAAGCTTTTCTCTCTAGTCAGTCAGAAGTGTGAGTATGCAGGATGTCTTGGCTTGTACGGATCTGCGCGTACGGGAGCATAAAAAATGTTAGCACTTGCTATTATACCCTCCCCCACCTATTCTTCCTACCAAAGCTGTAATTTGTCTGTGGCTTGGCTAGCAATATGCCTTCTAGCGATGATCTCGAGGAGTATCAACTGAGGAATATAGACCAAATTCAACAATGGTTTCAGATTCAGTGCCTGAGCTCGAGCCCCAGAGAACAGGCCCCTTGCTTCTGGAGTCTGCGTCCGCCGCCGCGTCTTGCATTACCTCTGGCTTAATGAACTTGTCGCTTCAGCGCCCCAGATCTTATCACTGCGGCAGTGGGATTCATTTCGGAACCGCATAATCAAGAACAAGTTGAGGATCAGATTGGAAAACAATCATCAACCTTTTTGAATCGAGTTTCCTTTCAGGCATAGGCCAATTGATTGTGAGCTTGATGAGGTCGATACTTGAGGAAGGGGAAGAAGATAAGACCTGTGGGAGGATGCTTGGTTCAACTGAGGAGACAGTGAGTATTCATGCTTAGCAGAGCTAAGGCAGCCGGAATAAGATTTTTTCGCGGGGATCAAGCGATCACAGTCGAAGGAGCCAGTATGTTCCGGGTATTCATCATCCCATTTATCCTCTAGCGCTAAAGGCTGCGCAAGCGTGTTTTAGAGATATGGGCAAACACGGTAGCCTGCGGCCGATTCACCGAATGGCGCAACAGACAAAGCCAGAAGTGGGTTTGTTTAGGCATCATTCAATTGCTAGCAAGTGTCTGAAAAGCTTGACCTGACAAGCACCGGCAGGCCAGTCGATCCGTGGGTTGCTACCCCGCGAGTTTGAGGCTGGAACCTGATTTGGTCAGACCATGGCCAAGTCTCAATCTGATAAACATTGAGGTTTGAGTTGATTCCTCGGGTTCGCAATGAAAACCTGATTATCTGCAACGGGCGAAATAGTTCCTCCCGGTCAACTTGACCGGCCAGTTGCCTACGGGATGGACCCCAAACAATTTAGGGCTGTCGCCTTGACTTTCGCAGGGTCACGGAGTTACTGCGAATAACGCCCTCAGATTCAAGATTCAGCGCCTTGTTCACTCGCGTGGTAAGTGCAGATATGAATGAAACGGTGACCGGCCACGACGAATCGAGACTTGAGGGTGGATAGGCAACGCGTCCCAGACAAGGGATTGGCTGGACGGAGTGGGCCCTAAAGTGGGGAGAAAAGCGGATAGCTTCGTCTGATCTGTCGACTATCGCTTTCGGTTGGTTCCCCTGGCCAGGGGAACCCGGCACTTTTGTGGCCAATTTCCAATTTAACCCCCCTTCTTTTTTTCGATTTGGGTTCTCTGCCACCAACCTTCTTCTTCCCGCCTGACGTCTGTCGGTTGGCCATTCCGTGGCTGAGAAAGGATTATCTCTAGGATGTTCCGTGTGCAGGAGCTCCAGATGATCTCGGTGTTCGTCTGAGGAACAATTCTCCTCCCCCTTCACTCGGGTTCCACCGATCCAATGAGATTGGATTCCAGTAGTGTCTTTCCCTTGTTAGCGTGCGGTTTGCTCCAAGCGCGGTTCAATTCAGAGGCGCTGGTCGCAACTCCTGTAGTAACATACGAGTAGCTAACCATCCGCTTTCACCCCCACTATAACCACCGAGCCACCCCCGGCTCTGTCACCAACCACCCCCCGGTCTCTTCACGGGCATGCAGTCCACGTAACCCGGCACGACCAGCGGGAGAAGATAGAGAAAGAGCCACGAAGCAGAGACTCCGCCCGTTACGTACGACGGAGCGGGCCTCTCAGCCCCAGGCGTTGTCGCGCGGACAATTGCACCCGTCGGAATGGTGCGGACTTCGCCCGGGGAGGCCAAACCTACCAAAACCCACCTTCCATGAAGCTCCTATCCAGGAGGGAGGAAGACCAAAGAGGAGCAGGTACTAACGCGAAGGGAAATTGTGCTAATTATACTACCTCCATCAAGGCATCCGCCGGGCTCCAGCCCACGAGCGGGCACAGCAAAATCCGTCTTAGTGTTTGAATAGCGTCGATCTAGCTATTTACTGCTCTTCCACCCCTTCTCCCATTTTCTGTTTCCCTTCAACAACCCACATTCGTTCTTACCTCCCTCCCCTTCATATCTCCATTCCACTCGCTTCATTTCACCTCCAGTCTCTCGTTTGCTGCCATTGAGGTCTTTTTGCGTGTTTTTCCAACCTTCTTCGAACCAAATAAAGTTTCTTTTCCAGATCCGACGCACTGACACAATGATGTTCGAGGGAGTTTTGAGCTGGTTCCGCCCTGCGGAAGCCGAGGTTGTGCAGGAGACCAGCTGGGATCCCGTTACCTTGACCATGGTCCAACCCAAGAGTCCGGTCGCTCCCACCACAGACGAGATTGTCACCGATCAACCGGTATGTTTGATTCACATGGTGAAAAAGTAAAATATGTTGCGCAGGACACTAATCCAACTGGGCGATGGCAGATTCTCGGCGAAGGGATGGACTTGCGACTCCGCGGTGGTGACAGTACTGAGGACGGGTAAGTCGCCCGGGGCAGCCAACCCTAACCCGACCGACTTCGCCTACAGTACCTATAACTAAACCCCAACCTTCGTGCTAGATGCTGCTTCTGCTGTCGCTGCTGCAGCTGTCTCGATTCCTGCTGCGCCCCCGACGACGGTCCCGGCCAACGGCTGTAATCCATCGATCGCGATTCCAACCATGCCTACGTACAGTACATAAATCATCCCTTTCTTGCCAGCCACTACATCCGACACATACCGACCATCCCTCGGACTGATTTATCGGGGGTGTTCCTGCATACATAATGTCTTATTCTGCCCGGTCTCAATGGCCGGGAAGACGGGTGAATCGCCAAACTCGCTCGCCTCATCTTTTCTCTCGTTCCGCATACTTCTTTCATCATCTGTGTATAATATCATCTTCCGTCATGACTTGCATCAGCCGCAATAGATTTCCTTGGTTCGGACCACAACTCGGTTTATTGAATAGCTGGCTTCTTTCTGGATACATCGATATATGACGACTACAACAATTTGAGTGACGGGGTGGGAAGGTGACGATGGCGGATATTGTACGAGCGAAGCCACGAATTCGTCTGTGCACGAACACCACGAACACGACATCGCTGCTTTCCCGGCTCCCTTCGACAAAGCTTGTATGCGTGGACTGTGTTACGGTCAGTCGGAGGGGTCTATCATTCGGGTGCGAAGCTCCATCGGCCATGGGCGCAATTGCGCGAACTGTGGCGGAGATCAGTCTGCGCTCGTAGGAGCGAGAATCGTCGGGATGCCTTCCGCTGTAGCATTTCTAGAAACAATAATGGAGGTAGTTTGTAAAGCCCAAGAATGACCGTCACTATAGAGAGATTCTGAACATCCAGGAGGGTTAATTCTAGTCAAGCACATGTTAAAGTTGAAATGCTATCTATATGATCTTCGATAATGAAAGAACTGATAAGTAGCCGGTGAACGTCGAAGATCTTCACCCAGTCGAGGATCGCTTTTGGGTGCTTAGTAGGCACTCTATATCAGCTGCCTGCTATTGGCGAGAGACGCGTTAGCTTCCCATCCGAACCTTGGTTTGGGGAATATGATAGCAAAAAGACCGCGGTTTCACAACGACCCGACCGGATTACCTAGTGGTCGGATCCGCCAGCATCATTGGTCTAGTGGTAGAATTCATCGTTGCCATCGATGAGGCCCGTGTTCGATTCACGGATGATGCACATCTTTTTTTCTTTGTCTTCGGCTTACTTGCCTGACTGAGTACACCAGCCCGCCTTCTTTTCCTTTTGTTTGTCTCGCTTGCGGTAAATAAGAAAGGACCTTAATTTGGATCGTAGTATGTCTATTATCACGTATCAATATTTATATGGCGCCCATTGTTCGGCGTAGTGGAGATGTCGGCTGAAGTCTCGACAAAAATATACTTCCCCGCAACCGCGCCATCCCCAGATTGGCTCCCAAAATAGAGTTAACCTTCCGACACAATGAAAAGAAGATCGTATTCGCATCACCTGACCCCAAACAAGGCCACCTCCTCTGGCTTTCCCTGCTGAAACCCTTGGTTCCCTGTCCCCTCGTGTCGTCATGCAATCATGTGCACCGCCAGATGGGAGCTGCATATAACCAGCGCGCGCAACGCCCTTGTGGAAGCATCGACCAACCCCAGCTCCATGCATCAAACCACAACAACCCAATCCCCACCACCACCACCCGGCCCACCAAGGCAACAGCAAGAATGACCTCCTCCCCAACCAGCCGCAACGCCGTCGACCTCCTCACCAGCCTGGCCGGAATCATCACCACCATCGCCACCAACCTGCACGCCAACCGGCTCGACCGCGCGCGGCTCCGCGCCACGCTCAAGGAGTACGCCGCGCGCGCCGAGTCGGACGCCAAGCTGATCAACGCCTCGCGGCAGTCGCAGCGCTGCGTCGAGCACGGCCTGCTGCTCGCCTACGTGCACATGGAGTTCATCGCCACCCTGCTGCGCTACAACCTGACCGTCCCCGCCACGGCCGTGAAGTGGTACAGCGTGCGCTCGCTGCGGAAGCGCCACCGCCTGTCCCTGTTCGGGATCCCCGCGCAGGCGCGCGACCTGCGCGCCCAGCTGGAGAATATCCAGACTAAGGCTGAGTTGCTGTATGCGGATTTCGCGGAGAGTGGGGTATGTTTTTTCCTCAAAAACCGTGTTTCTTCGGCGGAGGGGTCCGGTGCGGGGTAGGGCTATTATGAGCTGAGACTGAGAACTGGCGGGGTAGGTGCAAATCCCCGAGACGCCGATTCTGTATCGCAAGGTTACGGCTTGTGAGCCGGTTGGGGCGCCGCCGGAAGGTGTGTGTTTCCCTTGTCTGTGTGTGTGTTTGGGTTTGCTGATATGGGGCTGGGCTTAGCGATTCATGATCTCCTTCGTCGCGGGACCCTTGCTGAGCAGGAGTTGAGTGGGAAGATTCCGCCTTGAGGGGTGTGAGGATACCAGGTCGTGGATTTGAGCATTATCCGTTTAATGGGAGTTTGGGCGAAAAGTATATCTTGAGGGAGGTTCTTGCTTTGAAAGCGGAGATGAGTCTCAGTGAACTTGATATCAAGGGTTTGCATTAATTGCTGGTCTTTGCAATCACAGCTTCTCTCGCTAGCTCCTGGTATGTAGTCCTTTTACACCTCGTGGTGACTCGCCCTTCAGGCGCCTGGTTGGTAATGAAAGTTGATCGCTGTGTCAGGGGGTCAAGGCCGGTAGTATACTGCGATGCTTTTGCACGCTGACCCCCGCATCCTGTGGATTTGATAGTGCACACACCTGGTCTAGCAGGTTGCACCAGCGAGTGCCAGGAGAGCTCTGATCTGAGGCAATATCGAAAGTCTTCTAGACACCTGGCCTTCCGAGTACTCAGGGCCTCTCCGAGCGACGCACGCTAGTCGTTTTATGCCCTGGTTCTCTCTAAGTACTATACTTGACTACTCATAGATTGTTCAATGGCGGTAAACCAATATCACGATTTCCTTAGCTATGAGGCCGTAGGGTATTGTTTGCGTCAGATAGACTAAACGTAACTTTTCCCTCGCATATTTAATTCTCGCCATTAGTGAAGTAAGAACAGTCTATAATATAGTGGAGCTCATAAGTACAGTGACAACCGGCAAACCAAGATTTCACAGACAGTGGCATGCTACACCCATCTTTTCTGACATTCTTAAGCTCTGAATCTGTAAAGGGGTCATCTGGTATCAATTTCGTGCGTACCTGAACAACTTTTCCTGTGAAGCCAGAATCTTACCCTCCGACAAGGTCTGTTGTCGGGCCTAGAAGATACTCGGGAGCCTTTTCTTCAAAGCGTTCTCGTCAAGAAACTAGGGGCCGATGCGCAATGTCTCGCTTCGGAAGAAGAGGTTCGAACACCATCTGGAACCAAACAATTTCAAGTCTGGAAACGGAAATTCCTTTCGTGGAAGCGGGCGCCGAGTTGCTACCGACTCTCACACCCTGTTATTGGTACGGAGGGTTTATCGATGAGGTGATTCAGGAACCTCTGGAGCACATTACGGACATTCCAGTGTTCGTCCGAGCATCATCTACCTTATTCCTCCGCTTCCTGGCTCTATAGAGTTCTTCGCACCCCGCAATTGACGTTTTCTCTAGACTTCTAGTGAGTATTTATATGACAGCCATTGTATAACAGCCATGTAACCATCAGGCCGGAGGTGATTGGGGGCACCGATCAACTTCGTCAGCGTGCGTGGAGCTGAGTACGTAATCTGAAACATCAGTACAACCGGATCAAGTTCAAAGTCAAGATGATCACCTATTTGGCTATTGTAAGGCAGGCATCAATCTCGTCTCCTCCAAGCAGTACTTAACATAAACCATACGAGAGATGCAGGAACCAGCGTGTGGAAAACCTCCGTCTAGCGCGCAGTACCTAGTTCCGTCATGGAGTGAATATGAACAGAGGAAAATTAGACATTTTACTGTAGTGTTCATTCCAAGACAGTTGAAGTAACTCCGATGTACCATCAATCAGCCCAACCCCATCAATTTCCCCATCAGGCCAGTCCCACGCAGACTTGAGTATCCGGAAGAAGTATAAGAGCCCTAAAACCTTCTCTCGCACCCCAGCAACTGCAGCCGAGTACAATATACTTTCTTACCCTCAGCGCATGATCCTCCCTCGCAGGCCCCCAAACCCAGTGTAACAATACAACCGCATATTCTCCGACCCGACAACCGAGCCCAGCATATAACCCCCCCTCACCGTCCCGAAGATCCATACCCTCCTCTCCAGCTTCCCACCTAGGTATCACCAGGGAAAAGCAAAACCAGCCCACTAAGCCCTTACCAATTCCCCCTCCCAAACCAAGCTTCTCGCTTCGGTTTCATACCCAGCCAAGAAAATGAAACTCCTACTCCTCCCCCTCCTCGCCCTCCAAGCGACCGCCTGGTCGCTGACCATCTACTTCACCGACGGCGGCCACATCACCAGCACCGGCCGCCTCAATTCGGGCTGCAAGGCCTACGACCTCCCCGTCCACAACCGCCAGGTCAACCGCGCCTCCTTCAGCGAGAGCACCTTCGCCGACACCTTCGAGCTGTTCAGCGACAAGGACTGCCGGAACCGCGTGTTTCGGGAGGGGAAGGGCAGTCATCGCGTGCAGCCGCCGCGGCGGGTGAGGGCTTATAAGGTTTATTGAGATTTGGGGTGGGGGGTGGGGTAGGGGCCTCAGATTACGGTGGATTTGGGGAATTGTGTGAGGTTGGTTTGGGGTTTGGGGGTGCGGTGGTTGATGGGGGAGTAGGCG